ACCACCATCATTACTCCCTTCGGACTCTATGAATTTTCGCGTATGCCTTTCGGTCTAAGAAACGCTGCTCAAACATTCCAAAGATTCGTAGACGACGTTTTTCGAGGTCTCAACTTCGTACATGCGTATGTTGACGACTGACTAATCGCAAGTCCGGACAGACAATCACATCTCAAGCGTCTGGATCTTGTTTTCGATCGACTACAAAACCATGGCATTACTGTAAACGTTCAGAAATGCCATTTCGGAACCGACTCGTCAGATTTCCTAGGACACACTATCGGTGCTCAAGGCATTCGACTTCTTAGGACTAAAGTGGTGGCATTTCTGGATTACCCAGAACCGACCACGATCAGGCAACTACGAACGTTTAACGGCCTTGTAAGTTTCTATAGACGATTCATACCTAAATGCGCTCTACTCATGAAACCGCTAACCGACTAACTTCGTGGAAATGCGAAATCCATTAATTTGGACGACACCGCACGAAAAGCATTCTCCACAATTAAGGAACTTATTGCAAAAGCAACAATGCTTGAAAATCAGGACACTCAGGCACCCATTAGCATCACAGTAGGCGCATCCGACTCGGCAATCGGAGGAGTCTTACAACAATGGGTTAACAACTCTTGACAACCTTTAGCATTTTTCTCTAGACGGTCGCTAGATACCGAATCGAGGTACAGAGCATGCGGTAGGGAACTCCTAGCTATGTATTGTGCTGTACGGCATTTCCAACACTATATCGAAGGCCGTGAATTCACTCTTTTCTCGGACCATAAACCGCTCACTTTCTCGTTAAGCTCTCCTTGTGACAAGTACTCTCCTCGTGAGTCTCGACAACTGGACTTTATTTCGCAGTCTACTTCAGATATACAACATATTTCCGGAGCAAACAATGTAGTTGCAGACGCCTTGTCTCGAATAAATTCCTTGAACAGTTTCCAAGGAATCGACCTTCTTAAACTCGCCCAGCTTCAAAAAGAAGACACTGATCTTCAGCACGAGTTATCGTCCCTAACCCTTAAACTACGCATCAAACAGATGAGAACAGGTAAAGAAACCTTACTTTGTGAAACATCTACAGGTAGGGATCGCCCAATCATGCTGAAACGTTATCGACGCAACGTCTTTAATACGTTGCACAAACTTTCTCATCCAGGTGTTTGCGCAACCATCAAGCTTATAGCAGAACGATTTTGCTGGCCTGGTATGAATAAAGACGTGAGGGAGTGGGTGCGCTCCTGTGTAACCTGCCAGAAATGTAAGGTCATCAGACACAATAAATGTCCCTTAGGCTCATTTAAAACTCCCGATGCTCATTTCAACCATGTTCATCTGGATTTAGTAGGACCTTTACCAGATTCAAATGGATACTTTTATCTCTTAACCTGTGTAGATCGTTTCACTCGATGGCCAGAAGCAGTACCTATCAAGGACATTACTGCTGAAACAGTGGCCCACACCTTCGTCGAACGATGGGTAGCAAACTTCGGCTGACCTTCAACCATCACTACAGACCGCGGACGTCAGTTTGAGTCTGAACTTTTCCGTCGTCTGACCACACTATTAGGAAGCACTCGCTTCCGAACGACCACCTACCACCCACAAGCAAACGGGTTGGTAGAACGCTTTCACCGACAACTAAAAGCTTCACTATCAGCTGCAAACGTTTCACAGTGAACGGACGCTCTTCCACTCGTCTTACTAGGTATTCGCAATGCAGTGAAAGCTGACTTTGGACACACTGCGGCTCAAATCGTTTATGGAAAGACACTTCGACTTCCAGGAGAATTCGTGGATCCTTCATCTTCAAGAAACATGGATCTAACCTCCTACACGAACAGGCTTACAAACGCAATGCGTTCAGTTAAACTTGCTTCCACTCGACCACAATCAACCGATGTTTTCGTTCAACCTGACTTACTATATAGTACAAACGTTTTCGTTCGTCGAGACGCACATCGACGACCATTCGAATCAGCATACAAAGGACCTTTCAAAGTTCTTCAACGCGAATCTAAGTACTATATAGTCGATAAGAACGGAGCAAACGATAGCATCAGCATCGATCGCTTAAAAGCAGTGTATTTAGAAGGAAATCCTATTCACGTCGACTTTCCTTCGGTACAACCGCACAACACGACTCCTACACTCATAATTCCTCAACCAACAACCAACACTAGCGACGACACTCCGAATGTGTCTGAAAATAAACTTAAAACGACACGTTCTGGAAGAAGAGTAAGATTTCCAGAACATTTAAACGACTATTGCACGTAAGGCACTACTCGACATTTTATATTATCTCGATCTTCCATTTTACGATATATAATAATTTTTTTTTAAAAACACAATTTTAATATGCTCATATCTTTATATTTTTATTTACAAAAAAACAAAACAAAAAAATCAAATTTTTTTACGCTATTACGTGTGCTTGAGTTTATTTTCCCTTTTTTTCGCCGACATTGTGTTTTTACGTACATACGAGTGTATTTCGACATGCACTTACATTTTTTTTCTTTTTCAGGACGGCTAGAAAAGAACGATGCAGTTTACGAGGAGCCGAATTTTTCATTGTACCTTTTCTTTTTTTACTATGTTGTACCTCGGTCCCATATAGTAAGGAAAGACGACCAGACGCTGCTAAATTTAGTAAGAAGAGTGTTTACCAACGACAAATTCGTTGGGTTTAAACTTCTGGCTGGCCATGTCTTAGGGTCATCACTGCCACACTATGGAGGAGTGATCTGTAGTGGTAAATAAATCCCCAAAATAAATAGCTCTGTAAGTTTTCAACATTGGATGCTGACCATATGTTTTAGTGGACTCATCCAGCTGAAGGCGCTCGGTCAGGCATCCACACCATATCACGTGTGGTAACGCTGTGCTCAACATCTACCGCAATCGCTAGCCAGATTAGATCAGAGAATTCCGACATATTGGTAATCGCCAAATACACTCTCCCGATATCCTCGACTCTGTCTTTTGATTTCTCTTGGTGGGTACGAATTATATTAGGTGTTGCTGGTAAAAGCGTTGTCAAACACTGAATACCTGTGCCATTTTCACGCTTAACCAAATCGCTATTCTTTACTTACTATATGTTAAACCGAAGCAGTCAGTTCAGCATTACTTTGGGAAAAGCATACTGGCCATGTCATCTCGTTCTACAGTTTTGGGTAGAAGCCACTGAAATGGAACTTTGTGCCATGATGAATATATCCCTAACTCAAAGAACAGGTCAGTTGGAGTTGAACTGTATACCACAGCTTGCGGAGTTCGAAAATGCTATGTGCATTTTATCAAACTGATTATGTGGACTCGGCACACTTTTCACATTGTAGTTATGATTGAGTGTCCCCAGTTAATAATGTCTAATCAAAACTATCGGGACTAGTACCGGTTAAGAATATATACCAAACTGATTCCTATGAACAGTTATTGACCATTAAAATAAGAAAAAGGAAGCCGTTTTTATGGTCAAAGTTGCCAGAACTTCTGGTCAACTATTGCATTATTTATAAAACGTCTGTCATGTTTGCATACAGTAATTATTCTGATATACTCCGTCAGACGGCTGAATTATTTGCCAGATACGAAAATTCCACTGTCTCTCGCCATATCCTCTGTGACGTTGGTACTGGTATGAACAGGATCCCTAATCAACCAAGATTCTATCATAACCAGTCACGCTTTTCATTTTTTGTCATGGTGAATTTATTTTCTCCTCGGAGTCAAATTTCTTTTTCATCACACTTTAAATCTGTCTTGATCTACTTATTCTCGTTTTTATATCTTATATACGTTGTTATTTTATTTCAGTCCGAATGTAGTTTTGAATTTACTCGAGTCACATTCTAGTCGAGCCAGCGTTGTTTTCTCATTTAAAAATATTTAATTCATTTGTGGAGCAAATGAAATGTCACGGCCACAGCCAGGTCATAGAGTAGTTGGATCACTTAATATCGAACAGTTCACCAATCTTCGTTAAAATCAAAGACAACTATAGCGTACTAATGAATTACACATTATGAAATGGCCTTTGTGACAGTGACTACACTCTGTTTCTTGTAACTATTCTGAATAATGCGTTTCGGCAGCATAGTTATGTCCGTTCTATATGGTCATCAAGGTGGCCGAAGAACCTGAATACAACGGAAAGTAATCGACGTTGTGTATCAACCGCGAATAGTGACTTCGACGACGGCTAGAAGGTTATACCATTCCCGTCCAATTCGAGTAGGCCCACGGCCACCTACATAGATGGCCCGCATCGGTGATCTACACGTTGAACTTTACCAATGACCTCCTTACTTCGAGCCCTGCAGATATGTTTGGCTTAGCCAAATTGACTTAGAACTGTGGTTTTGGTAAATAATGATGATTAAGATCACATTGGTCAACCTGTTTGCTGTGTAAGATTAGGACCACCTAATTGGACTTCATTTAGCTGAGTCCGCTCAAACTAACAAAGTCAGCAACAATGGTGGAGGAATACAGAACCATTTACTCTGAAGAGTGATTTACCCTCTCAAATTTGTCAAAATAATTTGTTAGTTTATGATATTTTGTGTTCTTTTCTGTTTCAAAAACTGATGGGTTCTGGAAACCGGCCTTTGATAATAATACGTCCACTTTCCTAAACATATTCTGTTCATACGGAAGGTTTAAAAACGTCAATCCCCCTAGAGGCTATCCCAGTTGATTGGCAATCTAGAAATCCTAAAACTAATTACCTATTATTTATACCACCGTGAACAAGAAAATTGACAAATATCCTTGAAGGCAATCGAAATATTTAAAAACTCTGTCTAACAACGAGAAGTAAACACTAAAAAATCAATTGATTGATGCAAATTAGTCGCTAGGATATTGGATATTGGATTAACCTCTGAGTTTTTAGGGCAATTACGGAGGTAGCGCTACGTCGCGTGCCTAGAGAATAGTTTCCCTGACTACATTCACTTCCGGGGAAAACACATTTCCGAATTTATATGTTTTCTCATTCTTATCGGCCGTCATATATCAAGACTGCACTTAAGTACTCAACGTATGCACATGGAGCATCACCAAGTAAAAACGTCAAATAAAATTTGCTTTAAAGTACTAATCAAACTTTTAGGACTTAAAAACAACGACCCTTTGTCCCAAAAACCACATGAATCCAAAGTTCTGATTGTCAAGGAAAGGGACAGTTATCAGATTGATGAACTATCGCTTAATGCGGCTATACTTATCAAACAATCTGAGTGTGCTCTAACTTCCAAGCACATTCCTCCTAGGCTCCAAACAATCACGAAGTGTTGTAAACAGTTTTGGATGGCGAATTTTCCCGAGTGGTCTCGCATTCTTGAGATAAAACTGGACAAGGACCCACACTTTCTTGACAATCATATTTCAGAACCCGGTTTCCCGCATAGTTTCTCTGCTCAGCTTTCAAAAATTTTTAATTTCAATATCAAACTAGCAGGATTCTTGGATTCAAGTATTGCATCAGGAGAGGTCAGTGTTTTGCTGCTTAATCTGTATATTTAAAGCAAGATTGTCACTGACAGGTCAAATTACGCTAATCGCTCTTTGTCATATGTCATTTAGTGATTAATCGTTAGATTTAAAATTTAAAAGGTTAATGTTTAGAGATTTTATATAGTATGATCTTACCTGAAAATGTTAAAGGTCAGTTATTTGACCGTTTAAGTGGGTTACTTATAGTTCACAAGTTTTTCAAAATCATGTGGAATGGTCTCGTTGACATTTCAGTTAATAGAACGTTTGATTGTGTTGTTTCGCGCTGCTCTTTAGTCTAATCTCCATAGCATATAGTCAGGCAACAGACTCAGCGCTATTAAAACAAGTTTGTTTTTCATTATCTCTAAGCTAGAGGTCTTTCAACCTTGATTAAATATCTATCTATTTATTAGTTGTGTGATGCTGACTAGATCTGAAGCACATCTGCCGCAGGCTGTATACTGATTGACTGATCAAGTGAATGTCCTGTAATCTTAAGAGGACTATTATATTGCTTCACGAGTTCTTACCCTTTGAATTACGGTTGAAATCAGTATTAGTTAATGTGTCAAGAGCTAATACGGACTGAATCTTTAGATTTCGTTGTCAGGACCTAACTATCAATTTGTTTGTAAAACGAGACAATAAGTCTGACGTCTTGGCTGGAGTGCATGATACTTATTTCCAGGTAAATCGCTTTCGAATATAAGATTTTCTAAGTTCTCAGACAGGACGTCTCTAGCTATTGAGAGTAACTCTTTGTTCAAACTCTCAGCACTATCTAAACTATTACGATTATCACTATTCTAGAAAAGAACCTACTGTTTAGAATGAACAAACAGTTTTCAGTTTGGAAAGGACAGGAGGCTTGATGGCCTGTGTTAGTCCTGACAATGGTGGTCTCTCAGTTGATCCAACTTTCTTTTGAAAGAGTCGACGGATGGAGCCTCAATCACGTGCTGAGGTAATGAATTCCACTCGTTGATGACTCGATGGGAAAGTCGATAGTCAGATGACAAGTAATTTGTTCTGGGCTTGTGAAATTTCACGGAGTGTTCTCGTAAATCCTCTTTTTTTGAAGACAAGAAAAATGAGGACATATCAGGTGCAAATTTATCACTAAGCAATTTGAAAACTGTAATCAAGTCGCCTCTAGTTCTACGATATGACAACGGGACAAGGTTTAGCTTGGCCAGTCGAGCATCATACAAAAGCTTCGCTATTCCGGGAATCAGCTTAGTTGTTGTTCTCCGAACCTTTTCCAGAAGCTCACCGTCTTTTTTTAAGCAGGGGCTAGTCGCTTGTGTGCACTACTCAAGTTTAAGACGTACGAACGCTATACAAAGTCAAAAACGTTTTAGCGTCGACGTGACTAAAGGCCCTACCTATTGACAATAAAGTTCTAAAACCTTTGGAGGCTATTGCACGGTAGTGTGCAGTAGTCTCTAAGTATTGGCTAACGATGGCTCGTAAGTGATTGTGTGTAGCTCAGTGTTATTTATCGTGCATGTATCTGTACCTTGATGACTGGTATGCATCACAATACACTTGGAAGTATTTATCGGCAACTGCCAGGTTTGAGATCATTCAGATAATTTCTCCAGGTCGTTTTGGAGTTCTAAGCTATCACTCTTACTTTGTATCGCTCTCCATGTTTTGACATCGTCAGCATATAGCAGGACCGATGATGATAGTAGACGAGGAAGGTCATTTACACACAAGAGGAATAACACTGGCCCCAAAACTGCACCCTGGTGCACTTCACTAAGTACGGCTTCCCAGCTAGACAACTTTGAGTTCACCCGTACTCTTTGTTGGCGCCCAACTAAGAAGTCTTTTATCCACATCAATAGACTGCCTCCAACCCCGACATTTTTTAACCTATATAACAGCCGGTTGTGCGGAACCTTGTCAAAAGCTTTGCTGAAATCAATGAAGGCTACTTCTACAGGTAACTTTTGGTCCTTAAGAGTGCACCAGCTTTCACGAGCCACTAATAAGTTAGTGAGACAAGAATAACCTATTCTAAAACCATGCTGTTTCTCCGAAAGGATCCGGTTTTCATTGAGGCACTTAAACAGCTCCTTCTGAACAATCTTTTCTAAGATCTTAACAACCACACTAGTTGAGCTAACGAGTCGATAATTCTCAGGTTTATGTTTCGTATCTGTTTTGAAGACAGGACTTGCTATGGCGTTCTTCCAGTCTTTTGGTAAACGACCCTGGGTTACGGATAGATTAAAGCATATACTTAAAGGGTTCTCAACGGAGTTAGATAATTCTTTCAGTAGCCTAGGATGCAATTCATCGGGCCCAGTGGGTTTACCTATGTCAAGCTTATTTTGCTGACCAAAGACATCGAGTTCTTTAATGGTCACGTTGTCCAGTGCATGTGCGGCGGGATTTGTATGGTATATACACCTACTTCGGTTCGGGCACCCGGGCAGTATCACAGCCCACACACACAAATATGGTGTGGCGCATATTCATTTGGTGCCCTCTTGTACCAATATTTATGTGTTGAAATAAATAAATGGTATATACATTGCTAAAGTACTTCGAGAACACTTGAGCCTTACCAAAGTCGTCTTCCACTAATGATGCGGCATTACTGTCTCCCTATAATGCAGGAATATTTCTTCTTTTTTTCTCTGGTTTATTTACGAATACAAGCGTTTAGGACATTCTATGGATTCCTTAACTTTCTAGACTTGCGGAGGGTCGAGGCACAGGTATTCCGAGCTTTTCGGTACTGATATTTTGTCCCATCAGTCCCCAGCAACCTAAATCTATCCCACACTTTTCTTTTACGGAGATGGATGCGGACCTCCCTACGGAACAATGGTGGAGAGCTTCTCGGCCCCCTTGGTATAGTCCAAGGGATGTGGGGTGCGATAACTTTTAAGTATAAATTTCGAAATACGTCCTAAGCCGTTTAAATGGAGGACTTTGGCTCTATTGTCCAATCTACCAACGATGCTGAGTGTATGATATCTGGTATGTTTGCTTTCCAGACATTAGATCTGCATTGAGCTGACGCGTGCTCGTGACTGACAGTTATATGGAATTCAAAATTTAAATCTGTGTGACCACTTTTACCTAGGGGTGGCATGTAATGGAGGTTTACAACGTCATCCTCATGGTGAGTCAATATAAGATCTAGTAAGGATGATTCAGTGTCCGGGTCGTGCCTAATCGTTTTCACATGTTACGCTAGAGCACATGTAATAACCGCATCAACTAGTTCCTGCTCGAAGGAATTATCTGACAATTCAGTTCACAGATTTTTCTCAGTCTACCACTAGTGCATTAAAGTCCCCTATGATTAGAAATCGATCACTTTGTGACCGAGTATTGAGACTGCTTAGCAGGACCTCATTTACCTCACAGCTTGAACTGCGATAGACCAAACCAGCAGCTCTTGTCTCTTGCATTTCAAGAGGCAACTAACTAATTCACACGTTCCACTTCCATAGGATACACTGTCGATAATGGCAAATGGGGTAGCATTCCTAATGAATTGAGCTACTCCTCCTCCTTTACGCTTTTGTATTCTGTCGGCTCTTACTAACATAAAACCCTCGAAATCAAGGTTCATACTATCTATAGACTGTGTCAACCAGATTTCTGTGACTGCGATTATGTCTGACTTTGTAGAGTCAATCTGTACACCTAGTTTCGATCGCTTATTGAGCAAGTTTCGGGAATTAGTGTAACAACTTAATTAAACGTTTTTAGAGTTTAGTCCGTTTCAACTAAACAACTAAATGCAATCTGTGGAGCGGTGACTTAGTGACTATGGCATCCAGCTTTCAATCACAGCCACAAGTTCGCGTGCCGCCCCATCTACTGCTCTTTGGAGAGTCGAGTAGTATCACTAGCCCTCATGCACAGGGTGACTCAAAATCACGTACACAAATGTATACTTGTCTAAGAGTCCTGGCAATTATTGGAGCAGCGATTTTTCTTAAAGACATGTGATAATTTGTACATAACGTATCCTATAAAAGTCAACTTTCTATCATCTCGTTTCTTTCAGGTTTTTAATTTTCTACGGTTTTGTGATTCCGTTTACAAAGAATCGCGAACAGCTAAAGGATTTCGACGTGGTCATATTATACAGACCTCAATGGTTTACGAAAAGCTAGCAAATTATTACGCAAAATGTGTGAGTCATTCAGGTTTTTTCTATTCCCACCGTGTTTAACTAAGTAGCACTTAAAAGCTTGTATCAGACCTCATCTCCACATAGCACGCTTATTTTATACACTCGTTGACTGCTTAAACATTAAATATTCTTAGAAATATTTAAGATGCATGATTTAATATATTTCTTTTCGACTGGTCATCGATAGTAAGACAATATTTACGACCTAAAATCTCAGTTTTTTTCGGAACTTGAATTCTCTATGCTCATTAGAAGGAACTTCAAGTTAAAACTCCAACATTAGGAATTCTTCACTATACCAAAGAACTCGCGGATAGTGAATTCAGTCAACTTTGTCTTACCTTTGGTTGTAAAACATAATTAAAAGACTTCCGTGGGCCGCACTTTTCTATCAAATGTATATTAGAAGCGTCTGTCACGCGTTGTGACACAACCAAGTGAGCAGTGTCGATGTTATGTGTAGGGTACTTGACACAATACCTAAAAGTTAGTCCTAAGAGTCACATTTTAAGTGCTTGATCAATGAGTAGTCCGCAAGCTAATTTCCTCCAATCTCCTATGACATTTTATCATATCTTTTTTTGTTAATATTCTACTTATAAGCATGTTATTTTACCACATAGAAATATATTTGTTTGGACAATAGTCTTCTTGATTTCTAATCATTCGAGGCTGCAGTTAAATAATACAATCTTGTAAGTAGCCATCACTCAGCAATATCGCATAATTTCGCTTATCTGTCGATTCGCATTTTGTCCATCAATTTTTTCAATCTGAAATTAGTCCCATCACATCACCTCAAACCTCCTTAATAAAAGTACTAGACAACAATGAAAAGTCCGTTAATAATACTAAACGTCTTGCCATTCAGGTTGACTGGAGACCGTGGGAAACCGAAGTGTGGCTGAAGGCCAGTTGAACTGATCCCTTAAGTGTTCTGCCCATCAATCCAATCTCCTGGATTGAGTGTATAATATGTCCATCTTTCTCTGAGAGTGTTTCACTAACAGTCGGTTTCCTAATACCGAATTCCTTAACAAGTCTGAACAATTGTCTGCTATTACCTGTTGCCACTGCCTTTTCCACCTCTCTTGCTTTCGCTACCCACCACTGTTCACGATCGTTGCGTAGGCTTCTTGTCAGATTGCGCTTAAGCTCACTCCGCTTTTCATTATGTTCAGAGCCAGATGGAATGAGTTTTCGAGCATCTATCGGTGCGATAGATGCTTCTGAGACCTAGTGTTTCTCCCTAACCTTGCGGTTTATCGTACTAGCTGATATCACTGCTGTTTCCTGTTGGGATATTCAGGAAAATATCCCAGAAATTATCCTATTTAGCCTAATGCTATTCTTGGACTTGGACATGGTATTATTTTCTTATTGGTCAGTACTTATTTCACGTGTCATTTTCCTACTGGCCAATATTGTACAATGTTGTTTTCTATTTTATGGTATGATGTGGTTTGTTTGACTGGTATATAAACAAAGTATGTTTGAAATATAATGATTCATACATCCGAGGCTGTGACTTGCGTTCTGGACTCAACTGCTGGGCTAGATAGGGAAGCGGGGCCAATCAGAACCCTAGGTCGTTCTACGTGTCTGTGCGTCTTTGGTCCGATCGATAATTCGCTACCCTCAAATCTGCCGTCTCACAGATATAACAATTGGCGACGGGGTGAAAAAAAACAATCCAAAGTCATTCTGTAATTGGACGAAGTCCAGTCTAATTATTCAACCAATCAGCATCCAGATTGTCGTCACTGTCCTTCAACGACATTGGTCATTATTCACACAGTAATTCTCATCACAAGTGCTGATTCGGATAAATGACTCTCCCTTCCGATCGATTACAGCTGCTCTTTGAACGACATTTGGAGTTATTAGTCAAATTCCGCACGCAGCTGCTAAATCAGTCACGCTATGAAGATGCGACGGAAGTGGACGGATTGATATCTGAGTTTCACAGTGAGCTGGAAAATGACAGCCTCCATGAATCCTCGATGAACTGTACTTCAAACGAAACAGTCGTCCATGATGCGCCCGGTGGTCCAGTACTTTCTATTCCAGAAACATGCCCGGTAATGGAGTCAAACTCCATCATCCCCGAAACAGCATGTACAGACAGTAGCATATCCAGCTCACGAAAAGATCCTCTTGTTTTGCCAGAGAATGTATCACATGCATCAAACAATGGTCAGAAATCTAATTTAATTTTGATAGATGCTGTTTATTTTGGTAACGTATTATCCACTAATGGAATATCGAAGAGATCTAATGGGAATGTTTCACAAGAATCAAACTCTAATGACCTCATATCTACTGTCGCTGATCCTCAGCATCTAGTCAGCTCTAGTGGACTCTCTACTCAATGCGGGAAATATGCTTTAAATAGAGTCACATTAACTGTTACTTGGGTATACGAGGACCCAACATTATTCCGCGGGGGAGGATAGACGCGAAGAAATCCAAAATCCGGATATCAACTCCGGATCTCCAAAAAAGGGGAGGTGTTGGGATATTCAGGAAAATATCCCAGAAATTATCCTATTTAGCCTAATGCTATTCTTGGACTTGGACATGGTATTATTTTCTTATTGGTCAGTACTTATTTCACGTGTCATTTTCCTACTGGCCAATATTGTACAATGTTGTTTTCTATTTTATGGTATGATGTGGTTTGTTTGACTGGTATATAAACAAAGTATGTTTGAAATATAATGATTCATACATCCGAGGCTGTGACTTGCGTTCTGGACTCAACTGCTGGGCTAGATAGGGAAGCGGGGCCAATCAGAACCCTAGGTCGTTCTACGTGTCTGTGCGTCTTTGGTCCGATCGATAATTCGCTACCCTTTAATCAGCTACTGTCTCACAGTTATAACATTTCCACAGCTTTTCGGATATCATTCCATGCTGCCTCGGGGTGCGAATCACATACATGGCTGTCTAACTGTTTTTCTAGTTGTTCCTGGAATATACTTTTAGCTTGACTATCATTAAGTAGGGTCCTAAGAGGTTTACTTGCAGCGTCTTTCTTACGTCCAGTAAGACGCAGACAAATACGCGCTCGCACTAAAGCATGATCTTAATCTAAGCATGTGCTCCAGAATGAGTGACAGTCTCCTATCGAGCCCCTCCATCGGTGGCTGATAGCGATTTGATCTATTTGGGTTCAACATTGGGACGAATTTGGGGATCTCCATGTTAAAAGATGTTTTTCCTTATGCTTAAAGTTAGTATTTGCAAGAAACAGGCGGTTATCTGAACATAGCTGCAACAGACGAGCGCCATTATCTGTTCTTTGAGCCATGATGCTATAAGATCCACCCAGGTGTCTTTCCTTATCGCTTAGTTTACCTAATTGAGCATTAAAGTCACCGGCCACTATTACTACATCAGAGCGCCTAGCTTTTAGGAGGAGGTCGGAGAGCTTTCTGTAAAACTCATCTTTTACATCATCTGCGCTGCAGTCAGTGGGATAATGGGCAGGGACGACGAAGAGACAACGACTAGTGTCCCTATCTTTTCGGATCCTTACTGTTCCGTTCAGTCGGATAGCGCACAAACGACTGTCTACTGGGATCCACTCTAAGAGAGCTTGTTCTGCCTTAAGACTCAATGCTATACCTACGCCGGCGAGACCACGGGAAGCAGAATCAGGGCTTCCAGATACCCGAAGTGTGAATCGAGTCGGTTCTTTATTTTAACATGGTGAGGCCAGATGAATGACGCTACTCGGATCCTGTATGCGCGTTTCGGAGACACAGCACACATCGATGGCGCGGGATTCTAAAGTTTTAGCTAAGGAAGCCTGTTGTCCTATTTGGCACAGTGTTCGGACGTTAAAAGCTCCTACGTGTAGTTTAGAGCGTGGTTTCAGGAGGCCAGGAATAACGTTCCGCGTACTTGAATCGTTTGCCCTAGCGGTGCGAGATGATAAAGATACGTGAGGAGGGTTAGTCATGGAGATAAGAGAGGTATTAAGAGGTGTAGGAAGGATTTGAATGTAACCAACTTGGTCTCGTGTGCTGTTATGGGTATGAGGGCTGATGTCACTTCCCGGCTGCCCACACCGTGAAAGGGTATTTCTTGAGGAACCTGAAAAGGAAATTGGTTTAGTGTTAGTCTTAACGACCTGGGAGCGTGACCGCAGAGCCCAAGGGACAACTGCTTGAGGCCGGTCGCGCACGGCCCTTTCGTGGAAGGTTTTTAATGTGTTAGCTCCGTTCTTCAAAGGGCCTTACCGCCGGAGACGGAAATCGTGAGGTAAGGTGAGGTGTGACATTTTTATGGTCGACCTTTTCTAACCCCACCCCTCCTTGTGGGAAGGCAGCATCGCTGCAGATGCTGGTTATCCACCTAGTTTTCAAGGAATTTATGATAATTACTATTTGGAGTGCCATCAACTCAGATTATGTCACTTACATTGGAACTTCCGATACTAATAGTGCATTAGTACTTAATAGCCTTTCGGAAAAAATTATTGTTCATAATTATAGTACGTTAATGTATAAAATATCAGTAACTATCCCTTGTCAACCAAAACGTAAAGCTCTTTTAAATTAACTTAGTGTCTTGAGTGTGTCTTTCTGTCCATTGTTGTTGATGTACGAAGTTGATGAATGTATAACTTCTGTTTGCCTACACTAATCAGAATTTGTCCAGATTATAAGCGACGGTTTGCAAAGTGAATGATCTTAATTGTTTTATTGTTAAATGGACCATCAAATAAAGCCATTTTGATCCAAACTTATACAAAAATAAGTCATGTATATTTCTTATGTGATTCTAGATCGACCCATCACCCTTCAACTAATTTAAATATTCCAAGTCCTTTTTGCACTTTTTCATTATTTTAGGGTGACTGGAGTGGATACATTAAATTACTGGAACGAATGAAACGAGAGGGTTTGTTACCTTCAAAAAATACTTATTTCTATGGATTCGAATGTTTGGGTAAACTTATGAACAAGAATGGATCTCAACTTCCACCGTCTTCGCACCCTCAGTCTATTTCAAAAAATAAAGCATTTAATCGCATAACTCCCAAATCAGTTATACCTATGGAAAAAATTGGACTCGAAGCTAAAAATCTAATAGATGCTGCTGAAAAGGAGGTAATTTATTTTGCCCCTTTCTGTAGTAAATGTAATTTTTCAGTTATCATTCTTAAATTTATTATTTTTAATAGTCAAATCATTGGCATTTTACGGGGTTCTGGGTATCTGTGTGGTTGTGCCACAGGATTGATCTGCGCTCTTCAGGTTCCATTATTAAAACTTGGATAGCGACTGATCCTCCTCAAAACAAATGTAAACTTATCATCTCTCAGAAGGGTATGTTTATATAGAAGTGAACATCTCCCGAATCCTCTAGTACGGGCGATGGTGGTGAATCCGTTCACCCACTCATAATGCTTTCATATATCCACTGTTAGGGAAGTTCTACTCACTGCCTTATCGCGACCAGGGTGTTGTTTGCGAAATTGGGACGAAAAGCGAACGTCCGGAGCTTAAACCTGGTTGGTGAGTACTGAGGATCCACCTAGGAGAGTTAAAAAACCTTGATTCCAAACTGATTATGCAAATAGGGCTCAAGATCCCGAAGGAGCGAACGGCATGTAAACCTATTCTTGGTCACCGGCTACCATGAGATATCATCTCATTACGTTGCTCTACTGCCTCGTGAATTAGGCATCTAGCTCAAAGGCTTGGGGACTGCCCCCTAGCTCACACACAAATCAAATAATGGTTAGAACTGAAAAAAATACTCTCCTTTCAATTTACATTTCCAGAAATTGTATTTACAATTATTCCGAAACATTCGTTATTATTTTATATTACATCACGTCTCTATTCTCTTTTCATATTTTGTTTACTCCCTTATTTTTTAACCCATACAGCAGTTCGTTTATTATTGAAAACCCTCTCCCAACCAAGCGTTCTCAAGGCACTTATTGGTCGAAAGTTGAATGCTATATCCGACTACGAATACTGAAGCAGTCTTTCTGAAACCACGTATACCATTCAAACTAGCCCCCTTCAACGTTCACCCATTAATGCGGATCGGACAACAGATAGCGTTGGCTGTGTCTTGATAAATTCATAATATCGATATCTGTTGTCTACCCGAGACTCATATTCAAGACCCTAGTAAAGTAATACAAGTTCCCTTTCCATCTGCCGCTTCGAAAAGCTCCCATCTCGTGCGATCATCTGGGGACTCTGGGGCATATTGATCCGGTTTCGCTGACGTTCATGTCACTAAGCGCTGGAGTTAAGGCAGAACTGACCGATTAGATCCCCATTAACAGTTGGCTATATGCTATTAGGTTATAAAGTTCCATCAAAGTGTGAAGAAATCGGTGTGAAAAACGATGTCATTTGTTATCTCTTCCTACTCCCCTGCACGTTGCAGCCCGAATGCGATCGAGGATAAATTGTACCATCAGTTAAGTGATCTTCATAAAGTGCGTTCAACAGATAACATATGTCGATGTCTTGGACGATGGACCATCTACTCAAACTTTGCACAGACCGAACGCCCTGGTACAGCCGAGAGTGGGGAGAGTCCGCTCTCCCTCTCGAAATACTCTCACACGGCCGCGCGTATACAGCCTCTGCCAGGGAAGTCCTGCTCATCGCCTCGTGGCGGGGGTGTTGTTTACAAAATGAGAGGACGAAAAGCGAACGTCCGGCGCTTTAACCGGATCACAAACCAATGGTGCACATGGGCTCCAGTATCCTGCGGGAACAAATGGCGTATGAACCAATCGTTGTTCACCGGCTACCATGGGATTGCATCTCCTTACGATGCTCCACTGCCTTGTGGGTTAGACCATTAGGTCAACCACCTGCTTCGGTTTGGGCACCCGGGCAGTATTACAGCCCACACACAAACGATGAACTCTATGACTATGGCACAGACCACGACCCGTTCCTGGATGACACTAAATGTCAGCACAGTAGGTGGAGTTATTCAAGAAACACTTAAGCTGGTCTGCTGTCCCAGCGACCTCGACCAGACTGTTCTGTTCCCTCTGGACAGGAGACGAAAGCCCTCAAGGAACTCTAGAAACCACTAAGCCCAGATGATCTACTCTTGGGGCTCTTTAAGCGCTGTTGCAACCTTCTGACTATTGAACTAAGTTTGCAAAATTTTGTGAATTAGAGGGTCGATAGTCATTCCTATCTTTTAGAGGTATTTATGTCACCTATGGAACAACTATCGGGATATAATTCTACTTCCGATTGTGTTCAAACTATTGGCTTGCGTCACACTTCGTAGATTGTTCAAAATCGGAGAAAGATTGACTCACGAGGAACAGGCCAGTTCACATTCTGATCGAGGATGTATTGGTCATATCTTGACCCTCCGCTTAATGTTAGAACACTGTTATATTTGTTACAGACCAACAATTGTAGTGTTTCTTGACATTAAGGCCGTCTTCGGTTCGTTGGACAGAGTCGCTTAATTCATCTCGATGTTTTGGACCTGATGGTATCCCAAACATCCTTTTTTAAAAATGTGCTGACGTTCTGTGTCATCCGTTCACAACTATATTTAACAGATCCTTCTCATCTAATCTCATACCGAAAATGTGGAGAAAGATGAAGATGATTCTTGTACCCAAAAAAGCATTTGGTGATAAGAATGTAAAATTTAGACCTATTGCAATAACTTCACCCTTCCTCAAAACCATGGAAAAATTATTAATACTTCCACTTCAGCCTGCGATAAAAGAGCATACTGACCCATACCAGTTTGCATACAGGCGCAAAAGAAGCACTTTAGATGCTGTTGCAGTTCTGCATCACAACATAGTGTTCATCTTAGAAAAGGGTAAGAAGTATGTTCGATGTGCTTTTCTGGACTATACTTCAGCTTTTGACTCTATACCAAGACAACGTTTACTTAACAAGTTAATCAGCGTCAACACTGACAGCTGGATAACCAACTGGCTATATTCCTACCTCTCTGGAAGGGAACAGTACACTGTGTTTGGAGGAAAGAGTTCAGAGTCTCTACTGTCTCAGGAAGGTGTACCACAAAGAGCTGTTCTTTCACCTCTTCTATTCTCATTTTTTCTGCATGACCTGCCATCTTCCACAGAAAACATTTTTGTCAAGTATGCGGATGATCTCACTGTATGTATGTCTATCTCTTTCTCTTTACATCCCATAGTAATGAATGAGTTTTTGTCTCGTATTGATTGTTGGTCTGTTGGTAATGGTCTCATACGTAATCCGTCTAAATGTCAAGCTGTTAACTTTAGCATGAGACATGAACGGAATCTAAACACTACTTTGAGATCCCATAGTGCTTGTACCATCGGGTACTCTTTGATAAACTCAGTGTCGAAGGTCAATTATCTTGGTGTCACCTTTTCCTCTGATCTGTCTTGGTCTTCCCACGTTTTATCGTTATCGAATAAGGTTTTCCGTCTGACCTACTACATAAAGAGATTGCATACTCTTGGGATTACTCGTCATTTACTCTTACAATTTGTCAATTCTTGCATATTACCTATTATTCTTTACTGTTCTCCATTATTCTTTCCCGGGCTTTTGAGAAAAGACTTTGCTGTATTACGGAGAGTGCTGAAGGCAGTTAGCAAAATGTGTGGTGAATCTTTCGAGGTCATAATTAATATGGTTGTGGATAGACATTTAAAATCATGCAAACTCCTGGCAGGTGTTATTTTATCAGATACTGGCCATCCCCTTCACTCATGTCTTTCTCCTTGTATATCTCCTGGTAGAACGAGACGTAATTACATTAAAATCCATGCACGCAAAGAAAAGTATAAAAGTTCTATAATACCCTACCTAGCAAATATACTCTGTGACGAACAGGTTGTTAGAATTAACCTAATCAATAACTTACATTCTTAACATGTCATTAATATTAAAAAGTTTGTACAGTTTCTTTTTTTGGTTTTTTTATTTATTTTTGTATTTGCTACTGCCTTTTTGTTCGTTGTTCAGTAAGTAACTTGTTGAAATACCCTGTGCTGAGAATTCTATATTGTACCAAAATATAATATTGAATAAAGCCATTAATAATAATAATAACTGTTCTCTGGGATTGTCTTTTGAAGAAGGGTGTGCCTGAGAAGCTTATTAACATCTTAGAGGGTCTATATACAAATATCTTATGCAGAGAGATGGCGTACAGCTACCTCTCTCCATTGTTCCATTCGAGCAGTAGGGTTAAGCAGGGTTGCCCAATCTCACTACCCCTCTTCAACGTTTCCATTGATGACGTTCTGGAAACAGCTCTAATGGATGTAGGTAATGGTGGTGTAAATCTGTTGCTTAGAGAAAGACTTTTCAACCTTGAGTGTGTGGATGATATTGTCTTACTGTGCGATGATACCCAAGCCATGCAATCCGCACTTAGTCAATTGACAAATAGTGTCCATAGGTATGGTATGTGCTTTGCACCTTCGAAGTGCAAAGTACTTTTACAAAACTGTCAGGACCCAGATACTGCACTCAGCCTGGGTAGTGAGGGGATGGATGTGGTCGATAAGTTCATGTATCTGGGTAGCTGCGTAAGTTCGGTGGTTGCGTGAGCGATGAGACCAGTTCACGTATCGTGAAAGTCAGAGCGGCTTATACTAACGTTTGGCGCCTTCGCGATGTTACTTTGGCTGTAAAAGGTCAGATCTACAACGCGTCTGTGAGAGCAGTTTTGCTTTATGCTTGTGAAACCTGGCCTCTCCGAGTTGAGGTTGTTAGACGACTTTCTGTGTTTGATCATCGTTGTCTCCGAAGGATTGCTGACATCCAGTGGTAACGCCATGTTAGTAATGCAAAGGTTTGGTATCGTGTGTCTGGGCAGCGAGACGATAATTCACTTAGTGTCACTATCTTGGAATACTGACTTCGGTGGCTTGGACAGGTACTAAGTATATATGCCTATGGAGTTCCACATCGTGCATTATTTGCTAACGCTGGGACTGGTTGGAAAAAGCGGAGGTGGTCACTGTACGACACTATATCGTGGTGTTAAAGAAAGCTGTACAGGACTGGAATCTATTGGTCCTTCACCTCCCTCTGACTGAAGTGCTTGAAATGGTGCAACACGGTGAGTAGAGACGTTATCAGATATGGCTCAGAATTGAATCTTGTGGCGATCAAGTTTGCGACTTTTTTCATAGTAGTTTAGTGAATTGAAATAATTCTTTCTAGTTCTATTTTAATTAAGTGAACTGTTTCTCTTATTATTTTTTTCGCTCTGATACACTATTTTAATTCAATTTTTTATACTCACCCTCCTTTGTATGTCTTTTAGTAGTCTCATTTTTTATTTTTTAGCACTTACGGAATGCGGTGTCCGTTCGTACCAGTGTGCCTCATCTATGCCACATTAGGTAGGTCGATAAACACCGGCCAAGGAGGACAGAATTGCCTGATCTAGGTCGCCGGGACAGCAGTCCAGCTAAACTGTTTCTCGAATAACTCTATCGACCCAGACGTCAATAGATGTTATTAATTGGTGTTCCGTCCGCTTCTCAGATTACTCCTGAAGCCCATTTGCACCATTGGTTTGGAACCAAGGTTTTCCAACTCTCCTAGATGGGTCTCCCGTACTCGCCAACCCGGTTTAAGCTCCGGCCATTCGCTTTTCGTCCTAATTTCGTAAAAAAACACCCTGGTCGAAGTAAAACAGTGAGTAGGACGTCCCTGACAATGTCTATCTACGAGTGGCAATATGAAAGTATTTCGAGAAGCCGATTGGACCCACCACCCTCGGTCTTATTTAATGCATTCCGGGTCCTCTGTACAGTAATGCAGTCACTTGTTAAATTTTATAGATCTCTGACAGGAATAGTCTTGACATAGGACTTATGGAATACTTCCTACTCGATAGCTCTTCTGTGGTGAAATATTCTTTGTTATTAGTTGCTAAAGTGCTACTTTATGTTTTAAGACCCTTTACCACTAGGTTTGCGATATCTTTGTTCACATTATATTAAATGAATCAAGCTAATTATCAATAGTCTTCGTGAAAATCCGATAGAATGCATTCTAATTTTTCATTATTATTGCTAAAATTCCTAACTCATTTTAGGACATCTTTTCTCAATTATTAGTTCATTACCCGGTTAATAACCTTTTCTTCGGTGGAATTATAAAACTGTGTATACACATGTTGTTTGTCTAGTCAGTCTTTGCTGTCCCTAATAAGTTTTCTACTGAATATTTACTTGTGTCAGGTAGTAGCTGCAGGCAGAATAGAAAGTTACTTATATTCTTTGTTCAGAGAATAAGAACCTCAGAGTATTTCTCCTTTTTACATTTTGTTCATTCATGTAGTTTATTTGTCGAATAACAAGTTGAAGGCAATTCAGCTATTCACTACATGGAAAACAATGTTATTTTCAACAGTATAACAGTTTCACAGATTTATTATCCCCTATGTTTTAAAACATTTTTAATTGACCATAAAACTATTAAATAAGTCAAAATAAAAGAGGCGGCACTAAATTTTTGTTCACAAGTAACAATTTATTAAGTCACTTCTTTGAGTTTATTCCTATTCTTACATTCTATAGAAAAGTTCGCAGGGTGTTTGTATCTGTTTGTTAATTTATTTTATTCATTACAATTGTCTGTTTCATTGATATCTTGTAACAGACCAAGATTATTTGTTTCTTAATCTTCATATGACTTAGCTATAAATTTGTAATTCTCTGCTTCTCTAGGTAATTTTATATACTCTGTTAAGTAAAATCATATTGATGAATGTTTTATTTGTTGGCATTCATTCACTAAGCGAGTGCTGACTATTCTTTATTATTCTTGTAATTCCTATAAATTTAATTCATATACACGCTTTTTTTTTAAAGGGACATGATCTAACTCAGGGTTTACTAGGTTTATCTCTAGAAGAAGGTTCATTGAGGAATATTCTCACCGCTTTGCTGTATGTCCGACCAAATATAAACCCAAATCTTAATTACTTTATACACTATTCATCCAGTAATACTTCAACACATACCAAACGTATCAAGGAAATATCTCATCCAGCTCAAAAACATTTAGATAGTGTTAAAGTAAGTTAATAACATTTTGTTTCCCTAATTATGCCTACAGACTTGCATGACGTGCTTTTTGCATTACCCCAGTAATCTAAATACCCATTTCTTGGCACTTTACATGAAATGTGTAAAAACTAAAACGTAATAAGAAAGTATAATTGAGTGCTTTCTGTCTAATATCAACTGATCTGATGACTCAGATCTTTAATGCAACTTCTTGTCTTTTATTAAATTAATTTTCAATTCAATCAAAAGTAGTTAAGATATTGATTTTGTACTCGTAAAAAATTAGCTGAATCCGAAATCCCTTATCAAAAGCTTATTTTCTTAACCTACATATAATCATTATAATTCCTTACTAATGTAATCTGAATTAATAAATTTAAGTTTGTCTAGTGGTAATTTGACATGTCACAGGTTCGAATTCCACTAAATTGTTTTCATTTCAAGAAGTCTGCTAGTATTACTATTCCTAGCATACGAATAGAAGTAAAGCTTGTAAAACCATGTTTGATAAATAAGTTGGCTTAAAATATTTGATTTAGACCTTGAGCAATATGTCTCACAATATATCTCATTGATGCAAATGTGTTCACTTTTTTCTTTCTCTTATTTTCATAATTCTTGCCTACTGATTTTGTTCATTTTTCCTTCCTTTTTATACTTCGTTATCCTCTTGGATTAGTATTATCACCATCATTATCATTCTTTTGGTTTTTCCCTTATTGATTCCTTTTTCTTGTTTCGATCTAAAACGTGATAACTTAAATTAAAGCACCCTTAAACCAGGTCTAACTCTGTACATGTCTGACTGTAAACATCTCTATATTATTGTTTAAATTACATTAATCTCTAAAACAATCCCTTTTCTAATAAAACACTAGTCCTAAGTCAAATTGTTCTCTCAGTTTAGAAATGTTTTCCTTCTTAATTATAGCACGAACGTAAAAATCCTTACGCCGGTATTTTTACGGATTTTGGTGACATTTCAAAGGCATTTAAAAACCAGATGTATGTAGAACAAATGACAGAAGTCACTGTCCCACCCGTACTTTCACCATTCGGTCAATCAGAAACTACCTCTTTATCGCCAGAACTAAAAAAGAATTTGGTACGTTATCTTGTTTTGTACATCTGTAAATGGTTTACTCATAATTTTAATATCTAATTTATATTTGTACATAGGGAATCTAAACCATTGAAAGCAACCTTGGGACTAAATTCATTCTTTTAAGATGTACCACTCACTCTCCAATGTCGATTACATTTACTACATCATTAATTGAACTTAAAGTGGACTGTTTGATATTTTATGAAATTTTCATTCTGATATGTGTGAGGGCTGTGATACTTCCCGAGTGCCCAAACCACAGCAGGTGGTTTTCTTAGGGGGCCACACCCGGAGCATTCGACCTGAAGGTTTAATCCACAAGGCAGTGGAGCAACGTAAGGAGATGCAGCCCCATGGTAGCCGGTGAACAACGATTGGTTCATACGCCATTTATTCCCTCAGGATACTGAAGCTCATGTGCACCATTGGTTTTGAATCAGGGTTTTCCAACTCCCCTAGTTGGACTCTCCATGTCCACCAAAACGGTTAAAGCGCCAGACATTCAGTTTTCGTCCTCTGAATATTGTAAGCAACACCCGCGTCACGAGAAAACAGTGAGTAGGACTTCCCTGGTAGAGTCTATATACGCGTGACCATGTGAGAGCATTTCGAGAAGGAGAGCTTACTCTCCCCACTCTCGGCTGTACCACGGTATTTGGGGGCTTTAAGACTGTTGCATGTCTTAGTCTTATACGTGCTATTCTTATGTTGATATTTATTAAAACAGTTTATTTAAATAAACTATAAATTGAAACTCACACACATTTTGCGTTTATTTTTATTTTACATCATTGAAAAACCATATAATTGAGGAATTTTTCTTGTAGTTTAAAAATAGTAAAAAGAATAAAGTTTAGTTATATGTAATATTTAAATCGTGGCTAATAGTGTAATTCAGGACACCCGTTCCTTCTTATTTAAGATACGTCAGCCAAATGTATGCATTTCAGTGTTCATATTCACACTGAGATTCGAACCCATTACTTGTTGCTTCAAACAACAAAAATCGTGTCCTGAATTTCACTGCTCTAGCAACAATCCATTGCTCCAGGAATCGAAGGTAAACATCAAGAGAATGAATAGTACTTTACAACATTTGGAAAAGATAAACGAGAACAGATCAGTTTGGGGATTGCTGGTTGGTGGTCTATGCTGCACGAGGAGTAACTGGAGTACTTAAGCTACAATCCAAGTATGCTAAAAATTTGTTACTGAAAAGGCTATATCGGTACAATGCTCTCAAAATTACCAATTCATCAATAAAAACTAATCAGCTGTCGTTCTTCAAATCAACAACGAGAAAGTACAAACTCTAACAAGTACATAGCATGATTTGTGATCATTAGAGTTTCAATAAATTTTGTACTTTACTGCGATTACAAATTTATATATGATAATTTGTTATTCTACCTAATAAAACGTTGTAACTAATATTGGTTTGCAATATTTAATTTTCATCCGGTTTTATTGATTCCCTCAACAATTTTGTGTTTGTATAGTATTCATTTTTATTTCCTTTACTTAGCATAATGCTTTGATTGAAGAACGTAAACACTGGCATCAAATCCTACTAACTGCTTTTAATGAACAGTTGAAAAGGCTTAAAATAATTCATGCAAGTGAGTTTTTTTTCTCAAAGGAAAATTCACTAGTTCTTGTACAATTTTATCTCTCAAGTTACCAATAAATAATTATAGCTGATGTAATACAAGTGTGGCTGCACAAACTATGATAGTGTTGAATTTAAAATGATAATTTCATGACTTTCAGAGGTTGATGATAAGCAGATTATACAAACTAGTTAGAAATATTTAAATCCAGTTTATTATAACATGTAATATGGCTTAAAAAGCCTCGATATGTCCAACTAGTCAAAATCTTATCCAAACTAATTTTGCTTTGTTTGCTTCAGTTTTATATTTATTTGCGTTTGCTACATAAATTGCAATATACACTAGTCTGGGCATCTCTGACTATTTCGTTATGTTTGTTTGAATGTGAAAAGTCATATGTACAAAGCTGTAGTGCATATAGTTCTGTTATTCACCTGTGTGACCTAGACCTTACAAGTTTGAAGTGTTCTAGAGTTTTCTGTGTCCCTGCATCTCTTAGTTGTATTGTTCTGAGCTGGCAGCAACACCATACATGCCATTTCAATGCCAGACTCCTCCTTGAATATGAATTCATTAGAAACTACTAGCTTTGGTAGCTAACACTCTCAATACCAGCAATTACCATATCAAACATCGTTCCCTACTTTTTTTTCATCCCATTGCCTGGTCTCAAAATATAATGGTTGTACTGGATTGATATTTCATGGGTAAATCTCATCTTTCTCCAAAAGGTCCTAGAAATAACGAAAATAAATATCTCCAGTAACATCAGAATTATTACCACTGAGTTACTAGTTTCGTAGTTATTCTCTTTGATAATAGGTTATTTCCACCAAGTAGTCAGTAATTCACATTAACTTAAATTATTTTAATTTTATATGATAGTTCGTCACATTGTCCTTTTCTTTCTTACCGAACATTTATCAAGAACTTTTATTAATTTCTTCTAGAAGGAAAACTGACAGCTTATCCATTCCTGAAGATCTTGCCTGCATCAACTTATACAGATCTGATGATTTCGGTAGTTACATTTTGCCTGTTTATTTATTTGAGTGGATCGTTGTTTCCCAATTACTTTGTGTTCAGTAGTTATATAATAAATTCAATTGTTTTGATTCTGAATATTTGTTTTTCGCCGTATATATGTTCTTGTAATTTTGGTCAACTTAAATTTTTATGCATCGAAATTCTTATATCAGCTTGAACATTGTCACAAACATATCATACGAAAAGCACTTGTTCAAGGAATGATATAACACTAACTGATTGTAATTAAGTGTTCTGATATACTGGTTTACGATATGACGATTCTACGGCTTCCTGATTGATGTGATTTCGAATAATATTTGTATTATTTTATGCTCCAGTATTTTGTTGACTTAATGGTTTTCAAGTATTTCGTGATAATAATTAGTCATTATTATTACGTCTACCTAGTAGATATTCTCTCTTACATTTTCCTTCAGGGCATTGATATGTTAATTGTGGATTCAGCTTTACAATATACCTCCTCATCAATTGCTTGTCTTCAACTTGGTCGGCGTGTAGAACGCGCTTGTACTGTATACCGCCAAGAAAAAATAGGATATTTTAAGCAGGTAAGACAATATTTACTCCTTGTAAATGTATTTTTATACTGAACTTTATGAAGTAATTAAATATCGATTATTACCTCCTGGTGTAATCATTTGAGGTCTACCATGTATTTATATCTGAAATCATCAAATGCACTCATTCTTTACCTCCCTTGAGCTTCAATATTATTTTATAATTTAGTCCTCATAATCATTTCTCTTTTCCAAACCATGTTATTCATGTATAAACCTTTTCTCTATCGTAGTCTTCACTATTACTTTACGTGATATAAAATTGATGTCACAGACTCATACACAAATCTTTATTTAATTACACAGTTTTCGTATCAGTTTAAAAAGTCTCAGCCCGAATCCCATATTGTGTTCAGTTGTAACTTATAATTCAATCATTTAAATTTCTCGGCTGAATAAAATAAAAATGCTGTAATACTTCGTCAGGACAGTTTTATGTGTTCTTATTACTCTCAGTTATATAACTTTTTCCTTACGCAGTTAATTTTTCAAGATTTGCTCAATCTGAAGAAATTTTTCAGTACTAATCGGCACCTTTTTAAAGTCTACGGAAAATAAACTAGTATATAAGTAGCCATTCGATTATATAACTTGACTGCCCCCGTATGTAATTACTTAATGTGATTTAAACAAAACTTTTACAGTGGTTATCTTTATCAATTTATAGCTGTCATTATAGACTCGACAAGAAATTTTTGAAAATGATTATTCGTTCTATTCTATAAAAAAAACACGAGAATGTTTTAAAATCTATTAAAAAATACATTCGTTTCTTTCCTGTAGTTAGAGAAAATGTACATGACATATGCTACTTTGTTTAATGAACATGAAATGAAATTTTCTAATTTCCGTCATATGTGGCTATATGCTTTGCAGTCACGTATAGATCAAGGTCCGAATACGGTTAGTTCTATGTTGGGTTTTCTTTCATTTGAGTTTTATTTCTTTAAATTTACTCGGAAAACTATTTTAATAATTCGGTATTGGCTTATTAGTTTATTGTATTTATGGTTTCTTGATAAGTAATTAGTGTGAAACAGTGGTTTTTGAACTCTGTATTCCTCTCTTACCGTCGATATTGAATTATTTTACGTATGATTCTTTGTCCACTCACTAAGAAGTAAATATTTTTAGCTTGTTTTTTGGATGTTGTTGTGCGCTAATTTCCTGTGGAACTTGCTTGTAGGTAGAAATACTGATTTCTTTTGGTATATCATCTTCATCAAGGTTTGACTAGATGATTTCACTTGTCGATTGATGAACTCGATTAATCATTGAAATAAATTAATAAGTGAACGAAAAACACGACAAGTTTTTATTTATCACAGTAAGCAAACATATTATGGCGTTTAGAAAATTTGTGGATCATATATGTTAGAATTATCAGTGTAATGGCTTTTGACAAAATCTAAACCACTTTATTACGCAACTGTCTGTAAAATCGTATAGCCTTCATCTTAACATATATATCCATGCTCATCATCAAGATTGAACAGAAACGTTTCTTACTTTATTTGAATTTACTTCATAAAAGTATCGAAATTTATTGTTTCCTTTATTAGTTAGTTTCTACTGTTTGATTTTGTTTTAACTATCAGCAACATAATTGGACTTCGTGGCCTCCAACAATTCTTTTCATGATTGGTGAGGTATTATACAGTCTTATATATGAACATTTACGTTTCGACTTAAATGGCCCACTTAGAGTTCGTCATGAATTCTCAAAAAGTAATGAAAAGACAAGTAGTAATATTTGTCGTAAAGATACTCCAGCTATCTTTGAAGTTCTCGCAGAATTCCCAACTGAAGTAACTAATGAAATTAAGGTTAGTATTTGATTTTCACTATATATTTCACTGTTACGTAATCTGAAGTATCTAGTGTGTTATTATTAACTGAAATAAAATAAATTTGTTTACAATACTCCCTTTGTTTTGAATCCCTTCACTGTCGTTTGCGTACGGTTGCAAACATTATCAATCTTACTAATTAATTAAAGACAATTACACTAGAAATATTTTCTTCCTATAGATATCACCCACCCAATCTGTACAACGGTATTTAAAATTAATTTTTACAAACAGTAATCACGTAAAATGGAAGAAAACATTATACTTAGATCAACAATAGACAGTTTCTGTCTAAACAAAAATATTTAAATGACACGTTTACCCTTCTGTTTTATTATAAACCACTATTTGTAAGAAGTTAACTACAAATAAGATTGCATAGCTGAATTGTCTTAATCTTTTCTTCAATGAAATTAGTACTAAAAACAGAATTTGATAAAAATTTCAGTCTGATACAAGTTAATCACTTTCATCATTATTATTTTCTGTTTTTAGGTTCATCCAACGCTAATTAACTGGTATCGTGATGCAGATTATCCACCCTTAAGTTTCCATCCATGTGCTCTACCTATGCTTTGTCCACCAGTTCCATGGATCAATCTTGATGATGCTGGTTATTTGATTTCAAGAAGTAATTGAAAACATCCGCATCTTTTGCAATTAACTTTCCCACGATTGTTATAAAATCTTTTATAAGCTAAATAACTTAATTAAATTGATGAAGATGTTCGACTATCTACTGTTCACATATTGATTGCGTGTAGATTAATTGGACAAAAAGCAAGTGATGTGATATCGACTATCTTATCCATTGCCACGAAATGTTTGCTTTTCAATTTTTTTTACAAATATAATAATTTTGTATGTATTTTCGATTCACAGCCTAGTTGATTGAGGTCGAAAATGTCGACCATTGGTTTACAATTGAGTTCTCTAATAATTAATCGCTATCCACGAGAACTAAAAATTCTCAGTGAGATCGTTGCCATATACTTGTGAAGAGTTTCACATGTGAACGAAATCGCTGTTCAGTGTTTCTTGGTTTAAAATAATGACAATAATACCTTTATTTAACATCAGTTCTCCAATATCGCAATAAATTTATGCTTAGCATGCCCCAAAATTAAAATTATTCAAAATTTTCCTTTATAAATTAATTAGTAGACAATGTCTGCCACCCAATCTCTGAAGTTTTCTATCAGTTTAGCTGTTACAACTATTTTTTCCATCCATCATTTATAAGATGAATGAATGACAATGTACATGTCTCCTTTCTCAATAAATCCAATGTTTCCGTTTTAATTTGATAGTATCTACTATCACAATAATTTACAAACCCTTTATTGTAAATCGTGAATGCGTACAATTAACATGAATAATTATTTAGTTCAAACAAATCTGAAACAGGAATGTTCACTCCAATATTTGCATTTAGAAAATAGACGATCTAAACATTTTATTTAGGTTGCCTTAACAATGGTGTCCAAACTAATATCAAACGGTAGTAGGCACCACTCAGAAATTTACACATAGTTGATCCGACAACTTGTTTGTTACAAATTTATTGTATGATTGTTACATCATACATGTACTACTTTAAATCTCATCCTAAAATATTACTTCTTATTTTCAGATTATGCAACACGTCTGATTAGATGTACCAGTGTTTCATCAACAAACCCAACTTTTCTTGATGACTTGGACTTTGATTCCAATCAAATTCCATCAATATTAGATGCTCTCAATTGTTTAGCTTCCTGTCCATGGAAAATTAATAACACCGTATGTTGAACCAAGCGTTTTTTACGTATAATGTAAACTATATATATCATGGGTTTTGTGGTCTTTTTTTCTTCTAAGCGTATATTTTGTCACATCTATTGTTGTGCTAAATTACTGATAGAGCGGAACAGGTATTCTGACTAAAAGACTTTAAAATCAGTTCTGATTTGTTTACTACTAAGTACAGAAAAGCAAATTTTTTATTTATTTACAAGCGTTTTTCGGGGTGCAAACATCAGATACTTTAAGCTATTCTTTCACTCAGTAACATTCTTCGTCAAGATTTTCAGGCATAAAAGAAAAGTGCTGGGATTAAGTAGTTCTCTAAAATAAGTACATGTTTCCATTTTTGTTTTCTCCAAAACGTTACTTACGCCTGTTACTCCTGGTGGAGGAGCATAGGCCGCTCACCAGCATTCTCCATCCAACCCTGTCCTGAGCAATCTTTTCCAGCTCTTTCCAGTTGTTATTCATCCTTTTCATATCTGCTTCTATTTCTCGACGTAGTGTGTTCTTTGGCCTTCCTCTTTTCCGTTTCCCTTCAGGATTCTACGTTAGGACTTGCTTCGTGATTCAGCTTGATGGTTTGCGTAATGTATGTCCTGTCTATTTCCATCATCTCTTCCTAATTTCCTCTTCAGCTGGAAGCTAGTTTGTTCTCTCCCAGAGAAGGCTGTTGCTGATGATATCCGGTCAATGAATGTTGAGTATCTTGCGTGGACAGCTATTTATAAATGCTTGTAACTTCTTGATGATGGTTGTTGTAGTTTGTAGTGTCGGTTATTATGTTAAGCACATATACCTTATTCTAGCTTTTGGACAGCCCATTCTATTCATTCTACTTGAGTCACATTCTGACCTTGTTATTTATTCGTTTGTCAATCTTGACTGTTTTTATACATTTATCCCATTACTCATCACATGTCTGTAACTTACTTTTGTGTAACTATAAATATTGGTTAACGCTTGGTTAAATTGGAGTTGGCTTACCCGACATCTCCACTGTGCGTCGTTTCTCTTCTCTTTATTCCATTGGCTTTATACACAAAATATATGTATTCACAAGTCCATTCTCGTCATTCGACTTATTTAATTCGGTTATTGACTAATGCGGAATGCATCTGTCAGCTGTCCTCCATGCACAACCTTGCACTGTAGTCCGTCATACAAGTTCCGGATAATATCGACAATCTTCTCAGGAACTCCGTAATGTCGAAGAAGTTTCCACAACGTCCTCCTGTCTACACTGTCAAATGCCTTTTCATAATCAATGAAGTCGATGTACAGTGACGAGCTCCACTCAACTGATTTTTCGACGATGAGCGGTAGTGTCGCAATTTGGTCTATGCACGATCGATCCTAACGGGATCCAGCTTGTTGACCTCGTAGTTGGGCGTCTACTGCGTCTTTCATCCGGTTCTGCAACACTGTGTCAAAGACTTTCCTTAGTACTGACAGTAGTGTGATGCCTCTATAGTTTTCACATTTGCTCAAATCTCCTTTCTTTGGAATCTTGATGAGGTGTTTTTCTTTCCAGTCCATCGGCACTTGTTCTTTCCCCCAAATCTTTTTGAATAGAAGGTGAAGCATGTTTGTATGTGCTTCGATGACTGACTTCAGTGCTTCAGCTGGTATGTTGTTGGGTTTTCCTGCTTTCCCGCTCTTGATTTGTCTGATGGCCATTCTGACATCTATAGGAAGATCTGTGAGTGCTGCTTTGATGTCCAGTGGATTCATTGTAGCCGGCCTATTCAGGAGTTCCTCGAAGTACTCTACTCATCTGTTCCGCTGTTGTTGGATTTCATTGATTGGCCTGCCTTCTTTGTCTTTGACCGGTCTCTTTGTTTTACTATATTTCCCTGCTAGTTTCTTCGTTGTATCGTAAAGCTGTTTCATGCTTTCTTCTCTTGCAGCTTTTTCCGCCATCTTTGCTAGTTCTTCCACGTATTTCTTCTTGTCGTCTCTAATGATCTTCTTCACTCGCCTGTTTGCTTCTATGTACTCAGCTCGTGTTCGGTCGTTGTTAATTGCTGTCTTACTAATTAATTGTCAAGTTATACGTAAAGTGTCAGATAAAAGTGGTAATGTAGATGATAATTTTGTCAATTTCCATCAAATAGTCATTAAAATATGTTTTTTAAGTTTGCCTTACTATCGAGTAACCAACGAAATACGGTCACATCGTAAAAGATTTCAATAAATCATATAATTAGCATACCGAGATGAAGAGCAGTGAAATAGATTTAATGTATTTGCTACCTTATTGAGAAAGCTTAAGCATTGAAAATATAACTCCAGAAACCAGAGGAAAGGCAAGGAACTCTAGAGTGAAATGAAAAATAAATAATGTGTCTGTGGGCCACTTATCTTTGTAGAGGAGCATGGGCCAACTACCAGAATTCTTCATCGAACTCTATCCCGGGCAGTCTTTTCATAATTTACTCCTCAGCTGGAACCTGGTTTGTTCTCTCCCACAGTAGGCTGTTGCTCATGGTATCCGGTCAATGGACATTTAGTATCTTGTGTGGAAAATTGTTTATCAATACTTGTAGTTTTGACTCCATACAGTAGAACTGTATTGACGTTCGTATTAAAGATGCTCACTTTGATGTAGGTTGACAGTTGTTTTGAGTTCTACCTATTTAACCGTAGGATTGCTGCCCTTGCTTTGTCAATCCTCGCCTTTACGTCTGCATCGAATCCTCCATGTCGATCGATGATACTTCTTAGGTGCGTGAAAGACTCCACCTCTTCCAGAGCTTCTCCATCAAGTATGACTGGGTTGATGTTCTCCGTATTGTATTTGAAGATCTCGCTTTTTCCCTTGTGTGTGTTAAGTGAATAATTTTTAATTCCGGCTTCAATAACAGTGAACGAAACCGCTTTTTATTCTCTTTATTCCTGCATACTAACTAAGGACAGGAATCCAAGCTCACTTGGAAGCTCCATCTATAGAGGCTCCGAAAGTAATAGTCATTTAAACACAGATCTTATCCCTATGCTTACCAGAAGCAGAAATTATCATACTAAACGAACTTCATGCAAAAATTATTGTCATGCTTAATCAACGAGAAATCACATTGGATGTTATACTGTGCGAAAATCACATAAAAAGTCAATGCATAATCTTACTGCTACTTTCTCAATTTAACATCCCCTAGCTAAAAATTCACTTCCTTAATAGCAGCGTAAAACGTAAGAGTGTGTAGTTGATCCTTTAGTCTTGTATACACAGCGGTCTCTAGCATAACCGAAAATCTTCAGAATTTCCAGTTTCTTTTCATACTATACAAATCATCATCAAATTAGTCAGTCTAAGTTCTTCATGATCAAATTTTGTTCCGTAATGTGTGTGCGTCCTTCTCCTGTAAACCATATTCTCGATTTTCGCCATCTAGTCTGTTGTTACGTTTTTTGGAAAAAAGTCGCTGTACTTCAGCAATACAAAATAAAATTTCCAAGATACACTAAATTCATTTTCTGTTGTAGCTTCTCATCAGTTGTGAATAAACTGCTTAAAATGCCAATAACTATTAAACCAATCCAACTACATTATTTCAATCGTAAAGAATAGATTATTATTTTATTTATTTTAACACTTAGATATTGGTACAAGGAGGCACCAAATGCACATGCTCCACACATCTCATTTGATTTGTGTGAGGTCTGTGATACTGCCCGGGTGCCCAAACCGGAACAGGTGGTTTTCTTGGGGGGCCACACCCGAAGCATTCGACCTGAAGGTCTAATCCACAAGGCAGTAGTGCAACGTAAGGAGATGCAGTCCCATGGTAGGCAGTGACCAACGATTGGTTCATACGCCGTTTATTCCCTCAGGATACTGGAGCGCATGTGCACGATTGGTTTTGAATCAGGGTTTTCCAACTCCCCTAGTTGGACTCTCCATGTCCACCAAAACGGTTAAAGCGCCGGACATTCAGTTTTCGTCCTCTGAATATTGTAAACAACACCCCCGTCACGAGAAGACAGTGAGTAGGACTTCCCTGGTAGAGTCTTTATACGCGTGACTATGTGAGAGCATTTCGAGAAGGAGAGCTTACTCTCCCAACTCTCGCCCGTATCAGGGCATTTGAGGGCTTAATAAACGAAAAATTATGTCGATGTAGTATAACTAGAGAGTTCGAAAAATCAAGACTACTGCTAGTTGATGTATGATTTGCTCAGTTGTTTTTGAAGCACAAGTCACTCATGTTAAGTAATATGTGACTTAACATTCATTGTACACTTCACATTTTAGTCACTAAATCTAATATTTTATCAAATTATCGTCAGATTTTAGACTATCTTATTCAAGTGGCACGTTCTGGTGGCAATGAAACTCTCAATATTCCCGAATGGAGAAGTAAACCTAAACGTGTTGATTTGAGAAAGTAAGTTTTCAAAAGAGATTAATTATTCATACATGTTCATTACAATTGATTGATCACTGGGTGGTGATCAATGTCTTGCTTGTCTAGTCCTTATTAGTGCAGATCGAATGCTATCGATCATGTTGCAATGTGGCCACCAGTCTAGGTGACTCGACACTGCAACATGATCGATAGCATTCGATCTGCACTAATAAGGACTAGACAAGCAAGACATTGATCACCACCCAGTGATCAATCAATTGTAATTACATCTCAGTCCTACAGGAGGTTAGTCACGGCTCGGATAGCTCAGTGGTAACGTCTCTGACTGTGAAGCTGGGTGACACGAGATCGAATCCGCCAGGGAGCACCAGTTCCCTCAAGATTACAGGTACACCTTGCTGACGAGTGCCAGGTAGCACGAAACCCGGGTCCAGGGTTTCCTGTTGACTACCTCCAACCACCATCTAAATACATGTTCATTATCAGTGTAAAACTCAAATCTGTGTTTTTCATTCGTTCTTAGAAAGTATGTGTGTACATTATTTGTATATCACAAATGAATCTTTTGACTTATACCACTTCATAGAATTATCTTTCTAGGGCTTATTGTTTACTGAATTTATCAAATGTTAAGACATTTAATTGGGATTTTATAAATAATTACCCACATATTATTGTTGTCATTAAAATTTAGACTAATGTTGATTTTGAGATAGTTAACTAGTTGCATTTGTTGCAGTGATCAATTTCATAAACCGTAGCACTTATGAATTGTTATAATGAGCTGATTGTAAATCCAATTACTGCACAATGTTTTGATTATTTATAGTAAGAATAAACATACTTAAACAAGTTACATTTGTGCTTTAAAGTTTTTTGCTTTAATGTCGTTAGTTCACCCAACATAACTGTATCTTCTCTTCTCAACTACCTTGAGAATAGTCTACAATTTTCTTCCTGAACACTACTAGGCTACAGTATGAAGCAGTTTTTCTGTGCCAATTTCATCAGACAGAAACTAGTGTCAAAACTCTATCAAAGTGTTGAGTCTAAATAGCAAAATTCCGTATTTTTGATAGTCTCTTCTCTTATTTTTCCAGTAATCAATTTACTGTTGAGTATGAAGATGATTTCTAGTGCCTCCCGATTCATATGGGTAGTAAATCTTTGATATTATGCTTCGTATATAAGTAGCTAGGGTGTGGGGAGAGTCCGCTCTCCCTCTCGAAATACTCTCACACAGCCACGCGTATATAGCCTCTGCCACGGAAGTCCTACTCACTGCCTTCTCGTGGCGGGGGTGTTGTTTACGAAAATGAGAGGACGAAAAACGAATGTCCGGCGCTTTAACCGGATTCCAAACCAATGGTGCACATGGGCTCCAGTATCCTGCGGGAACAAATGGCGAATGAACCAATCGTTGGTCACCGGCTTCCATGGGACTGCATCTCCTTACGATGCTCCACTGCCTTGTGGATCAGACCTTCAGGTCGAGGGCTCGGGGTGTGGCCCCCTAAGAAAACCACCTGCTTCGGTTTGGCCACCCGGGCAGTATCACAGCCCTCACACACGTATCGAATGAGATTTGTGTGGCGCATATGTATTTGGTGCCTCTTTGTACCATTATCTATGTGTTGAAATAAATAAAGCTAGGGTGTGTTGTTAGTAAACTTTAGCAAAGAATGTTATCTAACTTGTAAAGAATATATTTGATTAGAGTTATTTGTCCATTATGCTTTCCACTGAGGCATCTCTCGTAATTTATGTGTATACTATCCATTTCAAGGTAATCGCGAAATTCCATCATCACTTTCTACAGAGCACTTATTGCACAGATATATATGAACACTGAATAAACATGATAGTGTTATGGGAATGTTATAATACTGGATTATGTAGTGTAAATTATAACAAATGTGCAAATGAAAAACCTTGTAAAATCAATGAGTTAACAATGAATTATATTATGAATAGAGTGACATAACTAAGATGTTTTCTGTCGAAATAATTAAAGCTGATACGGAGGGATTAAATTAAATGAACTGATATCAGAAACAATTATGACTAAAATCATGCGGATATGGGAAATAAGTTAAGGCCATAGTGAGCATATATACACACTTCCGCCTTCATTTCATGGATTGGAAGTGCTTTTGTTTTAAGGATTCCAAACCAATGGTGCACATGGGCTCCAGTATCCTGAGGGAATAAATGGCGTATGAACCAATCGTTGGTCACTGGCTACCATGGAACTACATCTCCTTACGTTGCACTACTGCCTTGTGGATTAGACCTTCAGGTCGAATGCTCGGGGTGTGGCCCCCCAAGAAAACCACCTGTTCCGGTTTGGGCACCCGGGCAGCATCACAGACCTCACACAAATCAAATGAGATGTGTGGAGCATGTGCATTTGGTGCCTTCTTGTACCAATATCTAAGTGTTAAAATAAATAAATAAGGAGTTATATACGAAGAAATCTCTGTAGATTTAGACGAATTGTGTCTGCAACCTTAAAACCAACTCGCGGACCAGTGAAGTGATTACAATAGATTCAATTTCAAAGAATAGAACTCCTAACTGCTTTCCTCGCGCGTGCAGAACCACACTGGGACATGTTTTCGTATCTGAGTTCAAAGCAAGCTCTGGCTAAGGCTTATGTACCTTGCTGCACTAGAGCAAGTTAACTGATAAATACACATCCTTTTCTATATTATCTATGTTTTACATAATTATCTTGTGTTCTTTGAATATATATGTGTATATTGTAGTGATATGACCGCCAAAGAACGTCGGCTCGCCTACAGAAAATACCATGAGGATAGACAAGATTATGGTGAATTTTGTTCACTGTGGAGCACTGAACTGTACAGACTATCTATAGCTAATCAAGTATGCTCCTTCACTATAAAATTGTTTTTATTAATTCTTCAGATTATGTCATCAATTTCTTTTCTCGTTTACGTTCCCAGTAAAATCTCATACTCAACTGTTATGTCAAATAAATTGTCTATCAATAGACCTTGTTTTATTCTCAAACTGTACTGAATCATTTTGTACACCATCAATATAGTATTACAGTTATAATCGTAGAATCTATACGATGGTTCTAATATAACGACTAAGCCAAAGGTAGAAATTTTAAATTGAGAAGGGAATTTAATAGAAACATTTGATATTATTTCTAAGGTTGATCCTACAATCTATTTCAATTCAATGTGTCTATACATATATGAACTGCTGCTACTCTCTTAGTTGTATCTACTCACGACGTAAATTTAACGCATTTGTTTTTGACACATGTTAATAATTATTTGTTTCTATTTATAAATCTTTCCTTTTGATAGTATCGTGACAAAATTATTTGGTTTCCACATAGTATGGATTTCCGTGGTCGTGTATATCCTTGTCCTCCCCATTTCAATCATACCGGTATGTAATCTGATATCCTGTGTGCATTTCTCAGGTTAATCAAGCTTTTCCGTATTTTTGTTACAAACGTATGATAAGTTTCCTCACAATATATGAGCTTGGAGAAAGATAAATGGTTTTCAAAAGTATATAGTTTTCTGGAGGTTATTGATTAAAAACGCGAAGTCCAGTGAAGGGATCTCTTCAACGAATTTATTATAAGGCTGTACAATCGTATATGTTATAAGTACTGGTTCCATGAGGGAATATGAACAAGGAATGAACATGATGATGCAATCGAAAGGTTATAATACCAGACTACCTAATATGGATAATAACAATGAAGTTGATAATCTAGCAACCAGTTACAATGTGAATGCAGTATGATTACAATGCTTTTATTGTATTAATAAAAGATAAAGGCCAAGGTAACCATAACGATAGGACTTACCTTTTTGTACACACAATTCTGGCCTGAGCTCATAGACGGTAAGAGCTTCTGTTGTTTTAAGGAGTTGAATACGAAGAAATATAGGTAGATTTGTACGAATTGTATACACAACGTTAAAATCAACCAGTGGATCGGTAGAATGGTTTGAGTCCATTAGATGTTCAAGAATGGAACTTCTAACTTTCCTCTCACCCTTGTAAAATCACACTGGAACATGCCCTCGTATCCGAGATGAAAGCGAGCGCTGGCTACGGCCTATATACCTTGCTTGATTGCCACCGCTATCATGAGCCAACCTCAGTTAGACATTACTAAAAACCAGGAGCCACTAGACGACTTCACAAAGCTCTATGCTGATGATTATCATGTCTTGACTAGTGGCTAATTTCAAGAGACAGTTCTACATAACTGAAAATCTATGGTCCATTAGGCGATTCCGGTGAGTAGTCATGTGACAGATTCACTAAAATAACCGATATGTTCACTTGAATAACGTACTCAAGGTCTATTTAAGTCAGAAGATTGTCTTATATATATATATATATATATATACCAAACGTAAAAAAGGTTTAGAAATGGCTATCCACGCAAAATATGTTCCGACCAATAAGAACATAGTTTGTCGATAATCAGTTTAACCAATAAGAAAAGGGGATAAACCCTGATTACTAATAAGTAATATGGTCCTAAAACAAGAACTTCTCACCATGACGAGTTGGATTTGAGGCAATTAACCAAAGAAAACAATGGAAGATAGTAGCTCAATATCATGAAGTAGTAGACACCATTTGGTTCCGGCCTAGGTTAAGCGCTTATGCACCAGATATGAATTCCTGAATCCGGTCCTCCATGGGATCGTAAGTTCCCACTGCTGAACTGTTTCATACTAGAACGGAGTAACTGTCCAGTGCTTCCGAGTTTTGAATGGATGTCTAACTTCGGTCGATTTATGACATCGGTAGTATAATCATATTATTGAGATTTAATTAAATGATAAATGTTCAACCATAACACTTCAACAGTCCAATAACAGACACTGAGGACAATGGTGTACGGTAGCGCAACTTCGTGGATTGGTTGAAGTTAGACATTAACACCGTTGGATGCCGGCCGGCTCAGTGGTCTAATGGTTAAGTGCTCGCGCGCGAAGCCAGTAGGTCCTGGGTTCAAGCCTCGGGTGGTGCGGGGTCGTGGATGCGCACTGCTGAGGAGTCCCATACTAGGACGAAACGGCCGTCCAGTGCTTCCAGGTTTTCAATGGTGGTCTAGCTTCAACTGACTCATGATTTAAATCTGTGAAATTTCTAAAATCTCCACAAAGCCCATTCTGATAAAAAAACTTATAAATAAATCAAAATGTATTGATAAACAGATTTTTAAAAAGTGAATATGGTCTAATAAAGCACTCATATTTGCCAAGCAGAATAGCGAATGCATTTGTTCCCTTTTCGTCGCTTCATAGTCTTATGACACTAATTTTCACCAAAAAATTTCACGTGTTGTAGATCAGTAGTAAGCACTGATGTCCCCCACCCGCACCTTGTATATTTCTGCCCTACTGTTTCTCTCATATGAATCTTTAGTAACCCCTCTACCAAAAATATGTGTGATACTATCCGGCTTCTCAAACCATAGTCAATCAGTCGTTAACAACTCAAAATATGTTACATGTGCATCGGTTCCATTCGCTACATCATATCCGCCCAAAGATATGGAATGATTTTAAGACAATTACAAAATAAATAGATACAGTAACATTATAGGTAGGATTTAAAAACACTAGGTATAAACAGTATAATTCGAACATAAAACGTATGAAATTATTGTAAAACTTAATCAAAGAGAAGATGAAAAGTAAATGCTTCTGCATCACTGTGGTCGGCCCTAAGACATGTCACCGAACATTTTCAACCACTGATCACTCAGACCCTAACCAGACAGTCTACATTTACCAACACACTGATTTCATGGACTAACGCCATATCTCGCTTTAGCCTCCACTATCTCCTAACTTACTCCTAAAGCATACAAGTTAGGTTGTGCTTGGACATATGTGAATACATGTTCCAACCACCACAGTCGATGGAGATTTACAACCTCAAGAACCAATTAATCGAATTTACCTAGCACCATGTGTCTTGCCTCTGTATTGTTCATTTAGTGGTTCCAACATAAATGAACAGTGCTCTAAGGGCATCTATGGTCAAATAATTGCAATTTGTAGATATCCCCTATTTTTAAAGTCCACGTTCCACAGCCATAAACTAATATAAAACCCAAATCATGCCAGATAGGATAGGGTCTGGATCATTAACCTATAGGTTGAAAGTCAACTCTTCTAACCACCAAAGCACTCCTCCATTTTCATTATCTAGACTAGGCATCAAACTGTGGGGTTCCTGAAACTTTGTAATATTGCTAGTTGCTCATAAAGCATCACATTGCTTTAATTATTTAGTACTTTAAAAATAAACGCTTTTATCTCCTCAGTTCTTTCCTATGTTAAAAGTACTTTGTACACTTCAGATCGGTTTTTTAGTTTGATTAATTATCGCTTTTAAACTTAGATACAACAATTTGAAGTTAAGCAAACTGTATGTATAGGTATTCATTTATTTTTTTAATTCGATAAGCGTAAAGTTTTGATTACTTACCGAATAAAAGAAACAAGTGGTTTTTGTACCACAATACTATGCATATATAGCAAATGATAGTCACTTTTTTACTTCTAGTGATTACATCTGATTGTAAACTAACTTTATTTGGCATGAATCTTTAAAATATTATATAGGCAAGTATAACGTGAAATATTTTTCAACTCTTATCCATTTAGGTAGCGATGTAGCTAGAAGTCTTATTGTATTTGCAAAGGGATTACCTCTTGGTCCTAATGGCCTAGATTGGCTTAAAATTCACTTAGTCAATTTAACAGGTTTAAAGAAGAGGTAAGAGGTAGATTGTTTTAAATAAACAATGTACTAATATATCATGAAAATTTCAAATTTATTTGTTTCTTTGCTAGCATAATAAACCAATAAGTTAATCTTGTACAAATTTTATCGAAATAGTTTAAACTGTCTTGTCCATTGTTCATAACATTTTATAATTAATTGTACAAATATCAACTGTTTAATGTTTTCGTAACCAATGTACGTATTTCACTCCAAGTCGTTTAGTAGCTCTCAGTCAGCTACAACGTAGGGCCAGGCACATATGTGCATCCGTCCAGGTTTCCATATCTTATTAGCACAAGATGAACACCAAATTCATAGAAGTATTTACTTCAATGGTAGTAATATATAAAAGAAAGATTGCATATAAGAATATAATACAGAAATAAAGAATTAGTTGGTAGAAAGAAAGATGTAAATCAATTTTAATCTCATGCTTTGAGGGAAGACAGAGTGTATACACCGACGCCATTGCGATCGATTTTGAGCCATGTCACTCAATCTCTAACCACTGGTTACGATAGTCACGCGGACCCCAGCCAAGTAATCTGCATCTACCAACATGGCTCAGACTAGAAGTTAGTGACTTCAAGCACTGATGCCACGCTTTGGTTTGGCCACCCCTAACTTTCTTCCAACCGTCTCCAACACTAGTCAGCATTGCGCATCGTGGTAATCAGTGTTCAAACATGCGTGACACGTGGCCCAACCATCTCGGTCGATGAAGATTCCCAACCTTATCAACCGATTTACTATCATTCCCTAATATCCTGTGTTTAACCTCACTGTTACTCACCCGGTGATCCCAGCAGATGCTGGCAATATTTCTAAGGCATCTGTGATCAAATACTAATAACTTACAAGTATCCTCTACTCTCAATGGCCACGTTCCCCAGTCGTAAAGTAGGACAGAACGAACTGCTATGCCAGTATACTCGTCCCTAAATTGGTAGACGGATATCTCTTTTTCTCCATAAGTAACGTGAGTTGGCAAAACGAGCTTTCTGAATCCGTACAGAGATTTTGTCAGACATCAATCCGTTAATGTTGATCAAACTTCCAAGATACGCGTTCAACCACTTCACTGCCTATCCTTAGTTCAGGTGTTGGCGCAGGCCATTTCTGAAGCAAAAATTTGCATTTTAAAGGGGAGTATCGTATTTCAAACATCCTAGCATTGTTTCTCAGTTCTATCAAAAGGTTGCATTTTATCAGCGTTTTGACCAAACAGTACTATATCGTTTGATATCTCTATAAACTGTTAAATGAAAATGCATTTATACTTAGTTTCTAAACTACATAATCAATTAATGTTCAGTTCCATATTTCATAGAATAAAAACCAGACGGTCACTGTATAAATAGATTATAGAATTGCTTAACTATTATACAGATATAACAAACCACAAGATAATAATGATAATATTGAAACCATTATGCAACATCGTAAGCAAAAAGACAAGCATATTATTATTTATTTTAACATAGATATTGGTACAAGAAGGCATCAAATACATATGTGCCACACAAATCTCAATTGATATGTGTGAGGGCTGTGATACTGCCCGGGTGCCCAAACCGAAGCAGAATCTTAAAAAGCATGTTGGCATGGATAGATTGAAGTGTGTGATTCTACTTGATATCAGTGAAGAAAAAGACAAGCAATACAGCTTTAACAATGGTACAATAATTTTTCAATTCCTACTTCTTAAAATTATAGCTATGCTTTTTCTTACTATCATTAACATTGTTTGAAGCTAAAAATTCTTTATAGTTTTATTGTTAACTAACTACAAAGTATATTCATTGCTACTTTACAATATATAAATGTTTGATAATTATTTGTTTTTACTTTTTCTATTAATTTATTAGTAGGATTCCTAGTTATAATATGTGTAGTCAATCAGTTTTAGTGTTAAGTATTGTACATTTTCTGTATTTGCTTTCTAACGAACAAGTATTTGAATATCACATGTATTTGTGCTAATTTCTTTGTCTATAGTTATATAACTTTTTAAAAGAAAAATACAGATTAACTTAATTAGTAATGTTACTCAATTTTCCTTGTTAGGTGCACCCACTCAGAACGTTTAGAATATGCCGATTCTATAATGAATGACATTATTGATTCTGCTGAGAAACCATTCGATGTAAGTTTGCTTATCATCAATATATATATATATATATATATATATATATATATATATATATATATATATATACTTTTTTATTGAAGATTTTTTCATTGGTAAAGGACAGTGGTTGTGCTCATTAATAATTTTTAATCTTTTAAAAATACTCTTGAACTATTTCTATTTGATTATTTGTGTTTATTAAATCATTTACTGTCAAATGACGACGAACTCTGCGGTCAAGATTGAAGTCTTTTTCGATTATTTTCAAGGTACAGTAGCGACGTAGTCTATAATCTCCCTCCTAGCTTATTTGTGTTATTCCATCTGTTTATGTTTTAAGTCTTTATCATCATCACTCTGATTACTATTTCGGTGATTGATCTTAATTTATTAATAGTATTGCTTCGTGTTTATCAAACTTCATAGTTTAAGTTTAATGTTGGGTTAGAATTTCATCAATTTAACTCCATACATTGAGTAGTAGATGACAAGCAGCATTCAACTATCTATCTTTGGTGATCTAACATTAATTATTTTGTGATACTCAACTACTATTTTTTGATCAATGAAGTGAAATAAATTTTTATTCTGTTACCTATTATAATGACAGATATTTGCTTTTTTAGTAAAACAATGTTAATACAACCTTATTGTCTAATTAATCCTAATTTCTCAGCACTAATCAGATCATTGTGCCTGGTAGAACTATAAGAAAACGAATACAATTTCATTAATATTTAACTGACAGTTAAATTAGGATTCGAAAATGGGTAAAACCCATCCCGAATTCTCCCTCAAGATGTTAAAAAGATTTCACACTTTATCAACATTGAACTGTTTTTTAACTTTAAGGTGATCAGAATATCTTAAATGTTACCTTCGTAAATTAATGCATTTGTTGTGAAGTGCGTGTCAAATCAGTGCTTCTCCAAACAAATCTAAAGCCTTCCACATTATCCTCCTCCCAAATTTTTTTATGATTTCTAGCCTGGTGTGGGATCAACACATACATATCAAAGAAGTATAGGTGCGTATTCACTACTGAACATACTCGATAAGTCACCTGTTCCAACTTTAATCTTCTAAATGGCCAGAGCCAATTTATTTAATGACAAACAGTTCGTATAATAATCATACTCCTGACTACAATACTCTCTTTCATACATTTAATTTGTAAGACCACAACGTACAACTAATCACAAATATATAGATAATGCATTTAAGAAGAATAACCGAAAGATACATTAGTCACTTACTTCAACGATTTCACTATAAATCCAAATAATACAATTAGTTAAAGTATACTTATGGGTATTACTCAACAACTTTTTATCTAAGTGAAATTTCTTAAACTCTCCACAAAACCCATTCTGATAATAATCAACTGCTCACTAGTGACTGACTTCAGGAAAAACTCCTGGAGTTCTAGTGAGAAGCTGTTACCAGTGGAGTTCAACCGGTCTGTTATGAGATAACAACTCACTGAAGACAATGGTGTACGGTGGCGCTACTTCGTGGATTGGTTGAAGTTAGACATTAACACCGTTGGATGCCGGCTCAGTGGTCTAGTGGTTAAGTGCTCGCGTGCGAAGCCAGTAGGTCCTGGGTTCGAGCCCCGCTTGGTCCGGGATCATGGATGCGCACTGCTGAGGAGTCCCACACTGGGACGAAACGGCCGTCCAGTGCTTCTAGGTTTTCAATGGTGGTCTAGCTTCAACTGACTCATGATTTTAACTTGTGAAATTTTATCTAAGTCTTTAACGAAACTTGATGTCATCCGCCATAGTTTAGTAAGTTTTACATTTTACAACAGACATCGCAAATTGATTTATTAACAGTTCCCATTATATTTGAAATGATCCTTTATGTATGTTTATGATGAACTGTTAATTCAACATTCCTGGATATCGGATCTACTTAGATGCAGCTTTTTTAAGGAACTTGTGAGTTTCCGCAAGACTCAGTTCTTATATGTTAGAATTATATAAACAGATATATAATTCATCCATTCATTTATCTTCATATTGTGAACTGTTCACATGATTCGCATATAGCCGACTCATATTATCTTACTTACTAAAGTCAACATCTGAATATAATTGAATAAGCACAGTAAAGGTTTGATTTTTAAACATTATACATTTCTTTGATAATTTTAGTTTTGATTATTACCCTGAAGAAGTCTAGACAAGTTTTCTGAACGAAACGTTGGAATTAGATAAATTGCAAATATAACTTTTACAAGTAATGTCTTCTGTATGCTCCGCACCTAATTTCTGTCAAACTATTCGTTCTAATATCGACGAGCATTCAGTTAGTCATCATCAGTTAGTCCTCCGAAAGGAAATCCTATTTCTCACTGAACACTATTTAAATAATGAAAAACATCTTCATTAATTGTCTTGTCATTTATACTGTCCAGTATTTCTCGATTTCTTTTATAGGGTAGGAGATGGTGGCAAAATCAAGCAGAGCCGTGGCAAATCTTAGCTTGTTGTATCGAATTAAAAAACGCTTTGTCACATCCATCTGGACCAGAATCATATGTTTCTCATTTTCCTGTCCATCAAGATGGTTCTTGTAATGGATTACAACATTATGCCGCCTTAGGTCGTGATCTTCGAGGTGCAAAATCAGTTAATCTTACTAGTATGGATTATCCACAAGATTTGTACAGTGACGTTGTTGAAATCGTAAGTATTCATTAGTCCGTTTACACAACTCTGTATTCTTATCTAGGAGTGCTATATTTAATGCATATTTTAACTCGAATCTTTCCCCTTTTACTAGGTAGAAGAACAAAGGCGTATCGATGCAGATGGCGGGAACTCTATTGCTAAAACACTTGAAGGTTTTGTTCGGCGTAAAGTTATCAAACAGTCTATAATGACTACGGTTTATGGTGTTACTCCATATGGGGCTACTGAACAAATCCGTAAACAACTTCGCGACCTACCTGATTTTCCCAAAGAGTCTTTACTCCCTGCTTCTAGATATTTGGCTCGTTTAACACTGAATAGTATCGAAAAAGTTTTTACATCTTCAGTTGATATTCAAAATTGGCTTTGCAAAGTAATCATCTTTTCGATTAATGTCTCACTATTCTTATTGTAACGGTTTATTTTATTCTTTATGTGACTTGATTTTCAATAATATTTTCGGTTCGTCATATAGCTGAACTCACCATTATTCCTTTTAGGAATTTTTCAAAGTTTTGTCTCAATAACGTCCTTTAAAAACAAGAATCTAATATAGTAAAACGAGTTACTCGTTTAATCTAATATTGAAATTCATCACTATCGTCCATGTTTCAGTGATTTTCACTGCTATATTTGCATTCTGCGTAAAATATCTATTACATTCTGTAATTTTCTTCTAAAGCAGTTTTTCTTAGTCAAAGCACTGGGACTTTAACTGTTAAGTTACAGATTTTAACATCACCTATGTTGTGTCATTTAAGTAGTATAGTTATTTTTTACAACGTGTAGCCTAAACGAAGATATAGAAGTTAGTATCCCGTTACTGTGTTTTTACATTAAATCTTACAGTTGCATGCATACGAAGATTTTGAAATACGTTTTAAAACTTCAGTATTTTCTCATATAGGTTTTATAATATAGGTTACTCTACTCTGTAATGTTTTCTTGATGCTGTCAGTTACAAGTAAACCTAATAATATTCGTTGCTATATGTCATGTAATTTTCAGTATCGTTCAAGAACTTACCATGATAACATGCTTCTGAGCTATGGTAAAAATTTTATTCATTAATGAAAGGAATTTATCCAAAATACACACTACCATGGATAGCTCCATTGCGGGTTGCTTATTTTTTTACTTTCCTTCAAGCATCATAAATATGACATTTCATTAATTACAAAATACGCTTACCCTAAACTATATTCACAGTGAGTGAACAGACAGGTAACAGTATTCAAAGCATAGAACAAGAAAATTGGTAAATGATAAGAGCTATAAAGAATAAAGAAACATTGAAATCATGAATTGATCAATGTTAAACCGCCATTGAAAACGTGGAAGCACAAGACGGCCGTTTTTTCTTAGTATGGGACTTCTCAGCAGTGCATATCTACGATCCTGCATATGAGATTCGAATCCGGGACCTTTGGTCTAGCTCAAACGCCAAATCTCTAGACCACTGAATTGACATTCACACAGGGCTTATGTCTAGCCTTAATAAACCCACGATGTGGCGCGACCATCTTCCTTTGGATGTCAGCTCAACGGTCTAGGGGTTACGCTTTTGCTCTAAACCGAAGGTCCAGGATTCGAACCCCATGTGCAGGACCGTAGATGAGCACTGCTCTCAGGTTTACAATGGCGGTCTGATTTAGATAGGTTCATGGTATCAATGGAATTTAGTAATTTCCACAATCTCAAACCAAAAAAATAGAAATACTTCCAACAAAATACATTAATAATGTTTCATCGCTTTTTACTTACCGCTTAGTCACTAGTCGTAATCAACGTTAAACCTGACACATATGTACGTCAGCATCACGAAAAGAAATTGATAAACTGAATAACAAAGAAGTTGAATTAACCGTAGTGGCCAATGCGAATGACTAAACATTGAAGATATGGTTCGAGAAGTAGTGGAACTCATGATCTGGAGGAAGAATAAGTGTAAATACATATGCACTGCCGCTACCTATTCTGAGCCGTCACCCAACATTTCCAACCACTGATCACGCAGACCCTAACCAGGTAATCTGCTGATATTGTTCAAACCAACCATCAACAACTTTACGAACCGATGCCACATCTTTGTTTGGCCGCCCTTATCTTCCAACTTACTATCACTCCAGTCAAAATTGCATTTAGAGGTGTGCAATGTTTATAGACATGTTTCACATGTCTCAGTCGATAGAAATTGTCAGCTTTATATACCAATTTGTCAGCTTTTATCTAGCATTGCCCATCTAGTTATGTCACAATACACAAGCAATGCTTCGGTGACACCATCAATCTACTGAAATCCTTTACTTTCGCAACCCATGTTTCACATCGATAGAGAATTACAGGGCAAACTGCCACACTGTTTATCCGCAATTCTGTTTGGATATGGTTATCCTACCTACATTACATGTGAAGCAAGTTGGTAAAATCCAAAAAAGCTTCCTTAATCTGTCCCAAGACTTCATCGGACACCAACGCACTAAAGCTAACGAGACCTCTAAGATAAATACAATGATCACTTTTTGTCGATTATTAACTCTTCCTGTACAATATGATACTTATTTACTGAGTTTTCAGGTATCAATGCCAAGGTTGAATTTGATAGTTTCAAATAAATTGAGCATTGGGATATATATATACTCATTGGAATATCACGAATAGTATATTTATTGATACTGAATTACATTTTAACCTTTACGTTTGTCTCCATAAAACAATAAAATCAGAGTACTCATACTTCACACCACTCTTAAAGGAATTTATTAATCAACGCTAAAAATGGCTCAAGAACAAATTAGTGGAAACCAAGTAGGATAGGAAATTATCTACAGGATATATTATTTGTACCTGATCTATTGAACTGTATAAGGGTGGAGAGCTGTGTGAAATGAATCAGATAACTAAACAAAATATTATATGATTAGCTTGAAATCCAGATATGATTTGGATCCAGTTGTGTAGAACATCAAATCATTAATTAAGAGCTTATTTTCAATTCACCAATGTCTCATGTTTTCCAAGTAAGTGGTATGTAAAAATTTGTTTCAAGTCTAATTTACTGGTATTTTTTACTTTTCTCTTAGATTGCCAAATATATATCTGGAGACTTACAACATAGAGTTAGCTGGCAAACTCCTCTTGGTCTACCAGTTATACAACCATATATCCAGTCAAATAAAAGTTCGACTGATTCCGATGATTATACAGTTAACTATTATAGTCAACTTATCGACAATAATCAGAAACCAGATTTACTAAAGAATGATAAAACGGGTGACAATTTGATATCATTACCAAAATCATCTAAACAGACAAGTGCCTTTCCACCGAATTTTATTCACTCATTAGATTCATGTCATATGATGCTAACGGGTTTGCAGTGCTTAAAAGAAGGCATTGTTTTCGCCTCTGTACATGATTGTTTTTGGACTCATGCAGCTACTGTAGATACGTTGAATCGAGTAAGAACTCTAATTTACACTAATTATTGGTATCTTCTCTGTTTTTCCTTATCTTTTAGTTCATGGTCTTTTGTATCTTAGAATTTTGAGTAAATTAACCAACATTGTAAAGTTGAGTTTATTTACCTGCTTGTTTAGTCTGTTTTGGGCAATATCTCACTCGTCCAAGTACGGAGTCAACAATTTATACAATGTGTAATATCATTGGACCTCATCGGCATGGAATGTTTTTTACAGTTTATTTCATACACTTTAAAGTACTTGACATGATAGCGCTCATTGTATGGGTTCTCATTCTATCCTTTATGTGAAGATTGATATACCAAGCGTTCATTTAGGTTACTCAAATGTTTCATCCCCACACAATCTCAATAAGCTCAGTTTTAGTTAAAACTTCATAGTTTGAAAATAATGTAATTACCAGTTTCTTAATTTATCTTATAACCACTTTTTGATTTATTCCATTGTAGTAATAAACATTTTATTGATGATGTTAGTAACAATAGTGATGGGAACTGTCTCTAAGCAATAGAAATCACAAATTACGTGAAAAACATAAATATTTGTAACACTGGGACTTCTTTTTTAGCATATGAGGCATAGTGTACAGTTATTAAATTACGTTACTTTATTGGAATAATATTACGTTCAATAGTACGTAAAAAATAGGAATTACATATGCGAGCAAAGAATAAAAACATTTCGGAATTCTATTTTGCTTCAGAAGAACCTAATGCTTGCCTGTTGTCGTTAATTAAACCACTTGGTTAAGTAAATCATCTGAAAAAAGCAATTATAGACAATAAGATAGAGTATATTAGTTACCTTTTGCCTCTCATTAGGATGATGACGATTAATCTCATTTTCGGACTCACTAATTCTATTAGGCACCAAACCTCTTTAGAATAAACGTGAAGATATGAAAAGCTACACTTCAGTTTACTACTACACTATGTACACTTTCTCAGTGGTTTTTTTTATAGGGAGTATCTGTTCAGTATATTATACTCATAAAAGTTGTTTACTCAAGCATGAGTCCTTGAGTAAATAAGTATCTCTCATCTGCATTTATGTTATTCAGAGCTCTGTATCTTTTTAATTTATATTATGTTTTCTCATTAGTATTGTCATAGACAGACAGTATAGTGTTTTTAAGTGGAAATGTTAAAGATATGTAATCTTTTGAATAGCTCGGATAATGATACAAGATGGAATGTCATTTCATTTACAAACTACACTTTCATGTTTCCCCTTCATACAAATGTTCGCATACTTTTGTAAATCATTGGGTTGTTAATCGGTATTCAAACCGTTCACTTGTTGAATTCAACTAGGAAAAATCTCCACTAGTACCTCACTACTTTAATATCTGATCATCTTTTGCTTATTTTACTCATTTAAATCAATATCAAGATTTCAAAATTCTCATAATTTAACTTTTCTTCATACTACATTATTCACAGATATGCCGTGAAGAATTTATTGCCCTTCACAGTCAATCAATATTAGGCGATTTTGCTGATTATGTAAAACTAAGGTTTGGATATACAGACAAGTACGTTGATATTTTTTAGCTTTATACGATTCCGAAGGTGTTTTCATATATTGAGATGATGAAAAAAGTTGAAGACCTCACACCTGCCTAAAGATTTTGCTGATGTTATGCAGAAGGGAAACGAAAATTTCACGACTGACTAGACAATCCAGCTCAGAGAACGAAATTCTGCCGAAAAGGATTGTCCTATAATTCTTGTCAATGAATAGGGCAACAATCGAGTTTTATTGTAGAACAATTTGTCTACACTTATTCTTATCGTCAGTGGATTTTTCTCAGTACTACGACAGTAATAAGACTAACCATAAAAATTCCTAATTATAAAATCAAAACTTGTAATTTACTTGCAGTAACAAGGCTTAATTAGCACTAAATTTAGTCCTAAATATAAATGTCTTAAGTATTAAGTAGTGCAAATCAATTGGACAATGAACCTGCAGTCCATACGTTGGACTTCGTGTTAGTTGTAGTTTGTTTGTTCATAATCTTCTATTTTTTGCCAGTGCTAATCGAAGACAATGTATTTAGTTTGTTTAATAAATATAATCTTGGTTTATCTTATGTTCTACTAGTTTTCTCATGTATTTCGATTATTAATTTTAAGGATATTGAGTATGTACCTAGCATTTTCCAAGTTTCAAGATAGTAGATATCGACCCCCTGTTCATCTTATTCTGCTCAATTTTAATTTATTATGGGAATCTTACTAATCAGTTAGATACTACTAATTTAATCTTGCCATGAGGATTCGTAATAAAAACAATCATATCAATAATAATTTTTATTAACGATGGACTAACATAGTGAAAAATGTTGTTTATATTCGTTTAGAAAGAAGTTTGATTTATATAAAGGCCTAGTTACTTTTCTCTTTTTGCGCTTAGCTCAGGATTTTGAAACATGACTAACTTGAAGAAAAAAGTAACTATTGTGACCGCACTAACCAGTATAGCTCATAACCAAACCATCTAAAATCGATAACACATGACGTTTTTTAGTCAGTAATTACGGGAAAACAAATACAAGTAAAAATATTGATTAGCAATGGAAATTTCGTCATTCGCTACAGAGTCACCTTTTTGCCTAAAAATTTTCCGCACTCAAAGCACTTGTCACATTTTCATCTTCTTTCATCTGCACAACCTATAGTGATCATTACGTTTGTAATATATCTGCGTTTTTGTCCTAGACAAATCAATGAATTTAAAAGTGGAAAGAAACGAGATCAGGCATTGGCTTTCAATCGTTTACTTTCGAATCTCCCTAAAAGAGGTCAGTTTCCAGTTGTTTTTTTCGAATCTATTCATTAATCGGCATTCGCTCGATTTTCTGTTTCTAGTACTACACAGAACATTGCAAATAACGTCACTTCAAACAAACGTAGTCTGTATTTGGGGATTTTTCCAATCCCTTAGGATAATGTATATGGGTATGGTTGGCCACTGACTCTTTTTATGTCTTCATATCTACATGCACCATATATCTCTAAAATCCTAAATATTTCAATGATCAATATGACAGTGAAAGTTTTTCTTGTATTCCTTTCAAACTTAATTTTTAGTTAGCACGTAAATAAAATTCTTCTTTTAAAGCTTACGCAATGGTGTGAAACTATTGTTCCTCTCTAGTGTTTGTAGATATCAACCTTAGTTTTTATTTTCTAGATAAAGCTTGGACTTATCATCCACCGTTACGTTACGGTGTTATAAGATACACTTTTTGTGCAGAAAACATAATTTTATTTGAGCTTGTGTCTAGTCTTCCCCAACACAAATGGTTCTGTTTTCATATCAGTTTCCTGTAAAGATATATATATCCATTTGGATCATATTTCGGTAAAATATAGTAATGGTCATTTGGATACGTAGGCATCAAAATAACAAGTTTCATGTAAAACGAGAATGATCATTCTTTATTCCACCTTTAATCATTATCAAACAGCATTAGAGTTCAATGTATTAGATATTATTCTATACACTAATTTATCAACATAATGTTTGGATAGATTTAGCCATAACCATCACCTGGTTTAACTTCTGTATTTTCAATGAGTGGGAATTATTTAATAATATGATAATTGTGCATAAAATATGCATCTTTCTATTTGTATTCAATAATTTACCTTAATGAACATTAAACTACTTTTGTGCATCAAAATATATGTTTTCCTCTATCTAATTTATATAGGTTCATTCGATTTGTCCGAAGTTATGAAAGCAGAATATTTCTTCAGTTGAACAAACCATTTGCTTCATAGTTATACACAGAAAATACACTGTACATAGAGTTGATTAGAATATTTTTACATCATTATGAGTTTGTAAATATAATTCAACTTTTATTTATTTTTGTTTATCAATTTCCAATGTTTACGATTTTGAAAGTATAGTCGGCTGCACAAACAATAATAATTTTTAGAATAATGAACATATACCGAAATCTTGGGACCCACATCAGTTTTAGAATTACAACCAGTCTACAAAATCAGTCACTGTAATACCACTATATTTCTGTTCTCTAATATCATAAAATCACTTTGGAGATCGGTTTACAGGACACGTCCTAACCAGATCAAACCACAATTTCTGATAATAATTAGACTATAAAAACTAAAGTCATTTATCTTTAGAAAATAAGAGGAACTACAACTTGTTACAGGATTGACGGGTTGATTAACTACTTTAAATATTTCAATCTATGAATACTACTAATAAAATTACTCAGCATCACTTACAAAGTTTACCACAACTTATGAAGAGAAGAATGTATCCCCAATTTAAAAGTTACATCGGCACTTTAGTATAAGTTAAGGAAACTATCGCTCGATCTTGCTTGCTTCCAAAAACAGAATTCCTTTTATTCAGACTACTCTTATCCATTACTGAGAAGTTCGATACCCAACCGTTTGTCAAGTTTAGTGGTGAACTGTATAATAACATCGAAACTGATGTAGTTAAGCAATCACTTATTAGTCTTAAAAATAAAGGTGGGAGGATTAATAGTTAACCTACATAAAGAAAACCAGACTTTGGAAATAAAACGGCAAACTAGAGTTATGTACAAGAAACCAAGTGATCGTGGTCTCCAACATCCAAAACTAATAATCATCCATAAATATAGAGCCCATTGAAAATCCGACATAGCATAACCAACCTCTCAGTAGTACTACATAATGCTCGTACTGATACTCTTTTGCCATTTCAATATGTATACGATATTTTAGCTACTGAACTTTATTTAGTGGATTTTACAAAACACCCTAAATCGCATTGAATAGTCAGTAAATTTCAAACTAAGGGAAGATGAATATTTAGTTGCCAGGTTACTTTTTGCGGGTAATACTTACCATTAGGATCGACCGTTTCGTAAGGATGCTGACAAACTGCAGTCTTCTAAATACCTTGGAATGGACAAGATTTCCGTCCGCCTACCAATCAATTAATTAGCAGTCCGCTCCTTAGTGCATTGTGGTTGTGAAACATGGTCCTCAAGGATGGATGACATGTGCACGATACAATTATTTTATCGTGGATATCTTCGAAACATGCCGAGATATGATAATCACCAAGTGAGTAATGATAAGCCTACGCGCGGGACATTGAGTGAAGGTGGGAAATCCAGTACGTCTATGGAACTCCGTTAATTATCTCCCTCACCATTTAATTCTGGTTTTTATAGAAATAGGTTGGGTGAAATCTAGGAACCTTCAAACCCTAACTTGACAAGAATCCATGGAGTCACTAACTTGTTCTGAATCATGTTACCAGATCCTAGCTTTCTTGTTGGATTCTACACAACAACCATGACCGGTTTGGTGAGGTGGATAACGCCTTACAATCAGTCTCCTTAGTTCTAACATGTCCATTCTTCATTCCCTATATATTAAGCCATGATATGATTAGATTACTCTGTTCCTTCCACGTCATGTGTCGGACAATCTTGCGAAAACAAAGGATAATTCTCGACTTCGCAAAAGAAGCTGCATATTGCTGAACATGACCAACTTTACTGTTCATCACTTGCGGTGGTGTTTAGAACTAAGGAAAGAAGTTACATTGAGGACATCCAGCGCTGGAGGATCACCATTAGCTAAACATTAAGGGTGAGACTACACCTCATCAACCCCCCCACCTCCTGGGTTAAAGCTAGTGTTTTGATGGAGAATATTTGGTAAGATGAGACTACTGTAGTACGGAGAATTAAAAGGACTGTGGTCCCCATGTCTGCGCTTGGCTGAACTACTTGTGCCCATCGACGAGGGACCCTACGCTTATTAGAATTTAGTCGTATAGAGAAAAGGACAAGACGGCACCAGTCTATGAACGTAGATAAAGGCTTGTAGGATAAAATCTTGAGGGCATATGACTCAGTCAACATACGCAAACCCAGTCAACTTTCCTGCCGTGAGGTATATCTAAAACACCTGCCCAGATTTTACTAAATGTCGACCGACCCTACAATTTTCTGGTTGACTGAAACCTTAGTAACTACGTATTCCATTTTACATCCTTTCCTTGTGAGTCATGTGAAATCATAAATAGACACGGTCGATAAGCGAAGTAGATAGCATATAGTTGTTACTATTTAATTCAGTTTCAATAATTCCATGTTAGTATTGTCGGACGAAAGGGATCCACAATCCACGGACAAATCCCGCTTCAGGTAGTCGCAGCAAAGTTCCAACTAAATTGTCGCATTATTTAATCTCCTTATCTACACTGATCGTTATTTAGTGACGAGAACGTGAACGTTGAGCATTATCTGGTCTGTCTCAGTAACGAATACACAATATTGCATGCATGACGCGTTTTAATGTTTAAGATCATATTTGCCTCAAACAGTAATCCTTGATAAATACATATTATTTTAGTGTAGATCAATATAATTAAAAGGATTAATTAAAAGTATATACAACTTAAGGAATCTAATCATTCCGAACCGCTTTTCATTTAATCTCAATGCCGCCTTGAATGCCTATGCTTCGATTTGTGATTTTGCTTTGGGGACTTGTCTGAAAGCTTCGAAAGCTTTTTAAGTAGCTTTTCACGTTGTCTTTCGGTGAGGTTTTTGAGGAATTCCATGGCTAGAGAGTCTTCTTCTTCAGATGTTTGCTTTGAGACACTGGCCAGCGCACTCTTTGCTTTGCTAAATACAGATGTAAAACGGTCCAAATCAGTTCCTCGCTTCAAAGTAAGCCCCTCTTTTTGTAGATTTTTCTTAACTTGGTCAAGACCAATCATATCGCTTGTCGTTGGTTCCTTAGTGAAAGACTGACCAAAAAGTGGACAAACACGATCAGTGTTTAAGTGCCCCCATTGTTTGCACCGCATACATCGTACGTTTCGAACTTCAATGGCAAAGGGCTGATCTATTATCTCTGACGAGTTTTTGCAATAGCTTTCTCTTGGAGCACAATATTTCCTTTGCCATTCAAACTTCACCTCTTTGTCATCAGGTTGCTCCTATTCAAATAATTACTAATATATACTCCTAAGCTAACCTTTTCCATTAAAGCAGGCTGGTCATACATCCATGCTAAGCCTAGCCTAGCTTTTTCATCACCTAGAAGGACACGGTTTTCAAGTGTTTCTTGTTCCCGACGATATTGATTTAGTTTCTCTAGTTCCTTTTTCGTATCGTACTCATTTGCCTGTTCAGCCATCCACTTTCTCTTTATGTTTTCGAAGTTTGTTGGGTGGAAAAACTTCTTGCACATATAATTATTATATCCTTTCCCCATCCTTAACAAGAGACGTACCGCAAAATCCGATAGGCGCCACTCCAAATAATGTTATATGTCTTTGTGAGTAGCAGACTTAAACTAAACGATTTATTTTTTCTGGTTAAACTTCACAGTCAATTCACGGAGACTGAGTTTCTACTTGTTTTTTTATCAGAACCGCTGAGTGTTCTCATGATAGCGATGTCACTGGAAATCATCAGTATCACTTCATTAGAAGTACTGGACAACTCTAGTTCAACTTTTTGGCATAAGATCATCTCTGTTGTGCAACTTATTTTCGTTCATTATTAATAGGCTTGTAATAGGTGCATAGATCACGCACCCTTTTTGTGTGGTGAGTTTTGTTATAGGTCAACAAAGATTCCTTTATCGGCGTCTACGTGATCACAATTTAATCAGCTAAGATGCAATTACATGCTAGAAATTCTAAGTGATATGTTATAAATAAAGTCGTTGTGTGCTATATGTAAGAAAAGGTCCTCCTACTGAGAATAATGGATCACAACCTCAACTAAAATTATTACAGTTTTCGATATCTTCGAGAGATTATTGTTTTGTGAAAATTTTATAGTGAAGCCGACTTTATGGGTTTTGAATGGCACTATGAGTTGAGACCTTTCAATCAAGCATCACCACATTTAGGTAGCCACTTGAAAGTGCATGATCATTATCCCTCTCCGGAGAATCAAGCCAGTCCTATCTTTGGCTTCTTCTTTATTTATCTCGAGATAATTCATTTGACTATATGCATTTGTCACCTTATCCTGCCTGAAAAACACACCAAATTATTCGCTTTTAAGTTTCTTCTTCCCTCTGATTTAAAAATTATCTGTCAGGTTAACAATACTGAATCGTGATCCAACTATTCAGATGTGGTTTTTCAAAATAGTGAGACAGTTTTCCCACTTGATTGACCACTGTCACAGGCTCATCGCAGGATAAAGACAGATGAACATTCCAGGACTTTTCTGACATCATATTCTTTCCAGACTACCACGGAAATACAAACCATCCTTCTTTCGTGTTGAGTGTTGTTCTTAGTGCTTTATATTCAAGAGACATTTCAGTCGATGTAAGTGAGGCGTTTCAAAGTATTATACTGAACAAGCGTTTTGGAAGCTGGATTGGATTTTGTAATGCGCTAAAGGAATCCGAAAAACTATGGGAGAATAATTTTATCCCTTCTCAAACTATCCATACTCATTACATCCACACAGAAATTAAATTGCTGAAGGATATGAGGTTTAAATACCTTGGCGTCTGTTTGCTCCAGAAATATGTTGTATATCTGAAGTAAACTGCGAAATGTAGTCCAGTTGTCGAGACTCACAGGGAGAGTAATTGTCAGAAAGAGAGCTTAACGAGAAAGTGAGCGGTTTATGGTCCGTGAAAAGAGTGAATTCACGGCCTTCGATATAGTGTTGGAAATGCCGTACAGCACAATACATAGCTAGGAGTTCCCTACCGAATGTGCTGTACCTCGATTCGGTGTCTAGCAGCCGTCTAGAGAAAAATGCCAAGGGTTGCCAGGAGTTGTTAACCCATTGTTGTAAGACTCCTCAGTAATGACTGACTATTAAGGAGGTGATTGGCTTTTTTCATACTACCAAACTGAAATAGTATGGGACAAGAGGCTTTAGTCTGTGCTTCAAGTAATCTTCTTGCTACACACCAAGATTGCACAATCCACATTCATGTAGTAGAGTATTCTTGACAAACTTTACGTTCGCACTATCATGTTTACTATACACAATGACATTCTGTTTACGCTGTAGTATCTTCAGCACTTCAGATGTTATTTGGTCAATTACTTTTTCAGTGTTTGTTATAATTTCGTTATCGGGACTAGGAAGACGCGATAAGTCCGGTTTATAAGTCTGGGAGTAGGAATTTAATTAGTAACTATAGACCCGTTAGCTTAACTAGTGGAGTTGTAAAGCTGATGGAAAAAATCATCCGAATATCTCTTATAAACTATGTTGAGGAGCATAATCTTTTATCCAAGGACCAACATGGTTTTCGGAGAGGCCTATCATGCTTGACAAATCTTCTCATTGTAAGAGAAGATTGGGCTGCTGAAAAAGACCGGAATATTCCTGTGGATGTGATCTTCATAGATCTAAGTGAGGCCTTCGATAAGGTCTCCCACTCTGGTCTTAAATTCAAACTGGAACGTTTTGGAATCGATCATAAGTAACTTTCCCCATGACAGGAAAAAAAGGTAAGGGTTAATGGAGCTCTCTTTTCGTGGGTACCTGTAAAAAGTGAATTCCGCAAAATTCAATATTCGTTTCTCTTCTCTTTTCACTTTGTGTAAGTGAATTACCAACTGTACCAAAATCATTCCTTCTATTCTTCGCTGATGACATAAAAAGTTGGAGACCCATAAACACTATTTCGGATAGAATAGTATTACAGAATGATCTTAGCTCATTGATGGCATGGTTGGACAGGTGGTCACTACAAGTAAATCCTAATAAAAGTGTGGTGAAGCAATTAAATAACTATGATGAACCGTCACACTACGCAATATTTGGATCCGTGCTACACGAAGTAATAAATTATAAAGATTTAGGAGTCATACTAAGCAGTGATCTCAAAACCACCAGCCACTGTAAGGCTGATGCTGCAAAAGGCTACAGGGTATCATGATCTATTCGTAGGTGTTTCCAGTAATTGGATGATGAAATGTTTAGATTATTTTACCCGATTTATGTGCGATCACTTTTAGAATACGGGATACAAGCAGCGAGCCCTTGTTTCAAGTATGAAGCAGATATGTTTGAAAGAGTCCAACAACGAGGTACTAAGATGGTCAAAGGTCTATCTGGCCTATCTTATGAAGACAGACTGACACAAGTTAACTTACTTCCGTTATCATACCGTAGAATACGGGATGATCTAATATTGGCTTATCGTATACTGAACAATGACGTTGGTATAAACATTGAAGATTGCACAGGTATTCAGTGTTTGACAACGCTTTTACCAGCGACACCTAATATAATTCGTACCCACCAAGAGAAATCAAAAGACAGAGTCGAGGAAATCGGAAGAGTGTATTTGGCGATTACCAATATATCGGAATTCTCTGATCTAGTCTGGCTAGCGATTGCAGTAGATGTTGAGCACTGCGTTACCACACGTGATCTGGTGCGGATGCCTGAACGAGCGCCTCTAGCTAGATGAGTCCACTAAAATATATGGTCAGCATCCAATGTCGAAAACTTACATTTCTGAACATTTACAGTAATGCCATTGTTGTAAGACTCCTCCGATTGCCCAGTCGGATGCGTCTACTGCGATACTAATGGGTGCTTCGGTGTCCTGATGTGCGAGCATTTTTGCTTTAGCGATCAGTTCCTCAACTGTGGAGAATGCTTTTCGTGCGGTGTCGTCCGAATTAATGGATTTCGCATTTCCACGAAGTTGGTCAGTAAGAGGTTTCATAAGTAATACGCATTTCGGTATGAAGCGTCTATAGAAACTTACCAGGCCGTTAAACGTGCGTAATTGCTTGACGTTGGTCGGTTCTGGGTAATCCAGAATGGCCACCACATTGTTCCTAAGAGGTCGATTGCCTTGAGCATCGATAGTGTGTCCTAGGAAGTCTAACGAGTCCGTCCCGATTTGGTATTTCTGAACGTTTATAGTAATGCCATGTTTTTGTAGTCGATCGATTACAAGATCCAGATTCTTGAGATGTGATTCTCTGTCCGGTCTTGCGATTAGGCAGTCGTCAACATACGCATGTACGAAGTTGAGACCTCGAAAAACGTCGTCTATGAATCTTTGGAATGTTGGAGCAGCGTTTATTAGACCGAAAGGCATACACGAAAATTCAAAGAGTCCGAAGGGAGTTATGATAGCTGTTTTCGGTATGTCGTCAGTAGCCATAGGGATTCGGTTATACGCTTTAACCAAGTCGATTTTCGAAAAGAGAGTTGTACCCTTCAAGGTAGCTGTCAAATCGTGAATGTGAGGCAACGGGTAACGATCCGGAATGGTTTTTGCATTCAATCGCCGATAGTCACCGGTTGGACGCCAATAGTTGCTGTCCTTTTTAGGGACCATGTGCAACGGAGATGCATAAGGGCTGTTTGACGGTCGTATGATTCCTAAGTCTATCATGTGATCGAACTCGTTTTTCACCAACCTTAACTTTTCAGGGGCTAGTCGTCGTGCTTTAGAGGATACAAGTGTTCCTGTAGTTGTGATGTGATGTGTAACGTTGCTGGTTACACACGGTAGTTTCGGTTGCGTTTGATGAATGCCAGGATACTTATCAAGTAGTGGTTGACAAAGTGGGTCTATCATATGCTTAACTGTGACTGGGGATAATCTGCAACCAGTAAAATAAGTTACACAAACGGATAAATTAGTGTTTACGTCTACTAGCCTCCGTTTGCGCGTATCGATGATTAGATTATGGTGTTGTAGAAGATCCATACCAATGATTGGCATAGAAACATCTGCAACAACGAAAGTCCAATGAATGGGTTTGCGTAAACCAACGTTAAAGTAAACGTACCTTTTGCCATACGTAGCGATCGATTTTCCGTTTGCCGCCTGTAAGTTTGGAGTTGATTCGTGGAGCCGGTCGTTATGATTTGCTGGGAAAACGCTAACTTCTGCGCCAGTGTCGACGAGGTAGCGAACTCTCGTTGTCACATCTGTGACGTACAACAGACGGCTATGTTCGCCGGCTACGGTTGCCGTTAACGCATGCCGGCTTGGAAGTTTCCCGAGTTGTTTTTTGAGTCAGTCGGTTTCGTGTTGGGAAAATTGCACGGTTTTCAGCAATTTCTGGAAGACTTTCCATACTGGTTATGATACCAGCACCAGTCGGGGTTATCCATCTCTCGTGGTCTAGATACAGATCGCTTACGTGAAATGCTTCTACGTGGGGTGTGTGAGCGATTACGGTCGTTACGAAGATTAAGATAACGCGTGGGTGTATGACACAACTCGGTTATGTCATTCTGAGTCGTTTGAAGCTTTTCTTTGACTGAAAATACCTCGGTAGTAGAAGATTTCGTAATTTCTAAGATACGATCGGCAGATGCAGCGAGCTCACCTAAGGCGTTGTTTTGAAACGAGACAAGCACAGTTTGCACCTGTTGGGGAAGTTTGGACAAGAAAAGATGTTTGAATAGGCCTTCGTCGAAAGTTCTTAGGCCTATAACCTCTCTCATTCTTCGCAACATGTCCGTCGTAGAACCGTGCTGCAGGTCTATGTTATTAAGGAGTTGGTATAACCTTTGCCGATCGGTTAGGTCTCCCCGTTTAAGAGTCGAAAACTTTAACTTTTCTTACGGTTCGGAAACATCACTAGTAAACATACTAGATGTTACGTTCCTGTTGAATTCCCGCGATAGTGCCTTGACTACTGCGAGGAACTGTGCATGTGTGTCGTTCACGCCGTGCTCGTGGAAGTCGGCTTCTGCGTAGCAGAACCAGGCCACGATATTGTCGGGCCAGAAGGGCATGAGTAGAAACGAGGGTGGGGACATAGTCGTAATCTTAAATGCCTCGGGGGTCTGCTCAGTCATAGGGGAAAATTAAGCACGAGAATACACGAGTGAAAAATATATAGCTATCCCAAAACGCGGGCAAAAAATATCACAATGTATAAAAATTAAAATAAAGCAATGACATAAAAAATCCCAAAATGGAACAGACTCATAGTTTACGATTTGTTGCACCAGATCACGTAGGTATCACAAATGAAGATGGCACAGGTATTCAGTGTTTGACAACGCTTTTACCAGCGACACCTAATATAATTCGTACCCACCAAGAGAAATCAAAAGACAGAGTCGAGGAAATCGGAAGAGTGTATTTGGCGATTACCAATATATCGGAATTCTCTGATCTAGTCTGGCTAGCGATTGCAGTAGATGTTGAGCACTGCGTTACCACACGTGATCTGGTGCGGATGCCTGAACGAGCGCCTCTAGCTAGATGAGTCCACTAAAATATATGGTCAGCATCCAATGTTGAAAACAGAGCTATTTATTTTGGGTATTTATTTACCGCTACAACATTTATTATCTTTCACTTCCGGAACACGTAATATCAGCACCTTCTGTTGATATATTCAAAACTAGATTGGACTTCCACAATATTACAGACTGCAAGCATTAATATAGGTCGATAGACCTCCTATACTTATTACTGAAGGCTGAAATGTTGACTATCTTGGTATCGTTAATAGGCTTCGGCGGTATTCAAGAAGTCTATTTGTACGTGCTACACACCTGAAGACGATCTGTGCTTGTGGTTGCTCAACGAATTAATAGGCTCATAACCTATCAGAGGTATTTTTTCATATTTCACCAATAACCACATTCAATAAGTCAAGTCTTCCCAACCAAGTTATCCAACTTTGTTACGCAGATAAGTGACACGAAAACCATCGTCTTCAAACCCATAACAGTTCGTGTCAGCTAAAACAATCCTGTTGTAGTTATCTGTAATTCGAATGGCGCGATGAATAAACTCCAACGATTTTTGGATGAAAATGTAGATGCTATAAGAGTAAAACCAGATTCTTATACTAAATAATCCAGTTATTACCTACAACGTTCTTCGTAATTGGGGTATATCTTCTCGGGAGGCATTTTTATATCGTAAATAAAGCTGATTCATGCGTATATTCATTCAGTTTACTAAGTTTAACTCCGTCCACTCGATTCCATCTGTTGTATACAGTCGCCAGATACATCTAAAAGGTTTAGTTAAATCTATAACTCCTACAGGTGAATTGGAGATTTTACATGTGCCCAAGGTTAAACTACCTTTCCGAGTCCCATATGGTACGTTGTTCTTAAGAAAATTACATTGTAGGTAATGCCATGAAGATTTTTATTCCTGTGCAGCATTCCGGTCAAAGTATACAATGGTTGAAGCAAAATATACACCCAGGTGAACGTGTCTTTTTCATCCCTGTAAAACCAATTTTCGAGAATGCAGAACTGCTGGCTATAATATACAAACGAGTAACTTACTATTTTTGTTTATTGTTGCAGTGGTATTTTTTAAAGAAAGATATATCTTACCACCTATTAGTTAATGGAATAGCCAACCACAAAAGCTTCAATGATTTGCCAGATAACTTTCGCAATAAGTACTCCTCGGCTATATCAAAAGCAATTCGAATGAAACGAGGTATTTGGCAAGAAGACTATAAAGTGTGGAAATCTTGTAAATTATTTTTCCAAAAGATAAAACGACTCGTGAACTTGTAAAACTGACGATTTAGACTTGTTTATATACAGTTTCTATTTTACTTTTCTAATTATGGTGTAACATGTTGAACAGCATGTAATTGTTATTTTCACGATTTAAAACATGAATAAGCAAAATCAAGAGGCCGAAATGTTAAGGTTAGTATTGTAACACATTTTTACGTAAAACTTTACCTTACATTCTAATGTTTATGCTAAAACTAGGAAGTTATAGTGATTCTACTTGGTGTGCGTCTAATAATATGTATACAAAGTATCGAAACATTGTACACCTTGGGTTGAAAATTGTATGTTACCACCGAATACGAGAACTGAAGCAGTTTTTCTGAAACCACGTGCACCATTCAAACTGGCTGCCTTCAACGTTCGCACACTAGTGCAGGTTGGACAACAGATAGGGCTGGCTATGTCTTTGGAAAGTCTTAATATTGATGTTTGTTGTCTGTCCGAGACCCGTATTCAAGACTCTGACGAAGTACTACAAATTCGATCTCCATCTGTCACTTCGAAAACCTTGTTTTACGTGCGCTTATCCGGAGACCCTGGCATCTTCGTCTGGTCTGGCTGGCGTTGGTGTCGCACTAAGCGCTAGAGCTGAGGCAGCACTAATCGATTGGATCCCCATTAACAGTCGGCTATGTGCTGTTAGATTAGAAAGTTCCATCAAAGTGAGAAGAAATCGGCGTGAGAAACGATGACTTTTCGTCATCTCCGTCTACGTTACGAAAGATTGCAGCCCGGATGCAATCAAGGATGAGTTCTACCACCAGTTAACTGTTCTCCAGAAAGTGCGTTCGACAGATATTTTAGTACTAGCCGGAGACTTGGATACTCAGGTCGGGCGTCTAGGCACAGACAGTTCATCATAATTGGCATAGAAGAGAATCGTTTATGTTGCCGATGGGGACTTGTTGGTCGCAGGACAGATAACGGGGACCGTCTACTACAACTGTGCACAGACCACAACCTGTTTCTGGCTAGCACTAACTTTCGGCACAGTCATCGCCGATGTGCCGCCTGGTGTCCTTCCACTGCATCTCAAGCCTGGACTAAGATTGGTCACATCGCGATCAGCTACCGCTGGTATGGTTGTGTACAAGACTGCCGCTCCTTTTGGAGTACCTATCTGGACTCTGATCATGCCTTGGTCTGCGCCAATCTTACCTTGCTTTTCAGTGGCCAACGAAGTGACCTCCACCAAAGGATTGATGTCAGCAAGCTGGTTGCAACTTCTGTTGCTAGTAAGTATCGAACCGATCTAGCCTCTAGGCTAGCTACCACTCCACCGAAAAGTATAGATGAGCATTGGTTGCAATTGCATGACGCCATGAAAATGGCGGGAACAGTCAGTTGTGGGTTTGCGAAACGTCCCGCTTTTAAGCACTGCGTTTCTTCTGGTTCTTTACAACTTATTGAAGCCCATCGGTCGACTCCGGGTGACCGTGAGCTTGACCACAAACGACGACTGTTAATTAAATTGAACAAAGCTTGCGTAAGGACCGAGAAACCTGGTGGTCGGAGTGTGCTAATGAGCTGGAAGCAGCAGCTGCATCTGGTAACTACCGGAAGCTCTTCCAGCTCATCCGAGCCACTGGCAGCAAGAAGTCTGGTGTGAGTGAAACAATCTGCGAGGATGACGGGATGCCAACCACTAAAATCCATCGATGTCTTGGACGATGGGCAGAATTCTTCGAAGAGCAATTCAACTGGCCTGCTGCTCTGGCAACACCGGTCAGACTGTCCTGCCCTCCATGGCCGGTGACGACTAATCCACCAAATGAGGAGGAAGTCCGCAAGGAACTCCAACTCTTGAAGCGTTACAAATCACCTGGCCCAGATGACTTACCTCCGGCTCTTTTTAAACATGGTGGTGACCTTTTGACTAAGGAATTGACGACGTTGTTTACAAAGGTTTGGGAATTAGAGAGTGTACCAACGTCATGGAATGAGTCGATAGTTGTCCCTATCTTTAAAAAGGGTTCACGTCGTTCCTGCAACAACTACCGGGGGATAAGTCTACTTCCGATTGCATTCAAGCTATTGGCTTCCGTCATACTTCGTAGGTTGTTCAAAACCCGAGAAAGATTGACTCGTGAGGAACATGCTGGTTTTCGTTCTGGTCGAGGATGTATTGATCATATCTTCACTCTCCGCCAAATGTTAGAACACTGTCATACTTGTTACAGGCCAACAATTGTAGTGTTTCTTGACATTAAGGCCGTCTTCGGTTCGTTGGACAGAACTGTTCTCTGGGATTGTTTATTGAAGAAGGGTGTGCCTGAGAAGCTTATTAACATCTTAGAGAGTCTATATACAAATATCTTATGCAGAGTGATGGCGTACAACCACCTCTATCCATTGTTCTATTCGAGTAGTGGGGTTAGGCAGGGTTGCCCAATCTCACCATTCCTCTTCAACTTTGCCATCGATGACATTCCGGAAACATCTCTGATGAATGTAAGTAATGGCGGTGTGGGTCTGTTGCCTGGAGAAAGACTTCTCGACCTTGAGTATGCGGACGATATTGTCTTACTGTGCGATAATGCCCAAGGCATGCAATCCGCACTTAATCAGTTGGCAATCAGTGTCCGTAGGTATGGTATGTGCTTTGCGCCTTCGAAGTGCAAAGTACTTCTACAAGACTGGCAGGATTCCAATCCTGTACTCACCCTGGATGGTGAGCAGATAGACGTAGTCGAGAAGTTCGTGTATCTGGGTAGCTGCATAAGTGCTGGTGGGGGTGTGAGTGATGAGATCAATGCACGTATAGTGAAAGCCAGAGCGGCTTACGCCAATCTGGGCCACCTTTGGCGCCTTCGTGATGTTAGTCTGGCTGTAAAAGGTCGGATCTACAACTCGTCGGTGAGAGCAGTTTTGCTCTATGCTTGTGAAACCTGGCCTCTCCGAGTTGAGGACGTTAGACGACTCTCTGTGTTCGATCATCGCTGTCTCCGAAGGATTGCTGACACTCAGTGGCAACACCATGTCAGTAATGCAGAGGTTCGGCATCGTGTGTTTGGGCACAGAGATGATAATTCAATTGGTGTCACCATCTTGAAACACCGACTTCGGTGGCTTGGACATGTTCTACGAATGTCGTCCCAGAGAATTCCACGTCGTGCATTATTTGCCGACTCTGGGACTGGTTGGAAAAAGCGGAGAGGTGGTCAGTGCATGACATGGTGTTGTGGTATGAAAGAAAGCTGCAAAGGACTGGCTTGTGTTGGTCCTTCACGACTCCCTGGTTGGGGTCTGAGAGATGGTGCTACACAGTGGCTAGAGACGTTATCAGATATGGCTCAGAATAGAAGCCAGTGGCGATCCTGCTGTAACCTTCTTTTACTTTCTTCATAAAAAGTGGTTGTGTCTCCCTTACTTGAAAGATTTATTCTGATTGTACCTTTCCGTTCCATCGTTACGACCACACTACCTTACACCAATCTCTTCGTTATCGTTCTCTTTTTCTTTTGTGCTCCTTAGTTTTTTTTTCTATCTCTCTTCGAATTTTCATTGTTTTGTGTGGCGCATATATATTGGCGCTCTCTTTTACCAATATTTATGTGTTCAAATAAATAAAAAACACTTCGGGTAGGAACTTATTAAAGTCATCTTTACTTTAATTATGTAGTTCAGCATCTTTACTTAAAATGCATATTTTACACGAGCAATCAATTTGTAAAAAGTAGTCCTAAATAATTCTAAGGGTCTTGTATTCATACAGCAGGCCCTGAACACTATTTTGAATAAAAACTAATCCCACGAAATAAGAGTTAAATGTAACTTTCAGGCAAGTTCATCGTACCAGTGAGCAAACAGGATATTCATTTTTCGATAAAGTCGATATTTTTATCACCCAGACTGTTGTTGGTAGCCGCATAGGGTAATTTGCGAATACCTTCGATTTATGTGTTTTCACAAACTCGTCCAAGTAGGCAGAACACATGGTTACTGAATGCTACTCAATTTAGTATTCTAGGGGCTAATGCTTTAATCTCGTGTTTAAATATAATAGCTAGGCATTGAGTTAGTGTATATCAAAAGAATGAGTCACATCTTTTATTATTTTGGCAAGATTGAACTCCATGATTAAGAGGTTGAAGATTTGAAGCTTGACTAATCAACGGAACATAGAATCAGAATATTAAGGGCGTTAATGTAGAACCTGATTGCAAAAGACCAAGGATAGTATTTCATAAACTTGTTTCTAGTTATAAAGTAAGTCAGTCAGTCAGCTACAACGTAGGACCAGGCACATATGTGCATCGGTCCAGGTTGCCATACCGCATCAGCACAACAAGATGAACACCAGATTCATAACAGTGGTTAGGTAAAAGGTGGTAATATGTAAGAGAAAGATTGCATATAGAGATATAGTACAAGAAAGAATTGGTTCGTAGAAAGATATGAAGCGATTTTAATCTCTTAGTTTAAGGGAAGACAGGGAGTGTATACACCGACGCCATTGTGATCGATTCTGAGCCATGTCACCAAGAGTCTCCAACCATTGGTTACGATAGTCACGCGGACCCCAACCAAGTAGTCTGCATCTACCAACATGGCTCAGACTAGCAGTTAGTGACTTCAAGCACTGATGCCACGTTTTGGTTTGGCCGCCCCTAACTTTCTTCCAGTTATAAAGTAAATGGTCGTACGAGTAGTCATTCAAGTTGTCGACATGAATACAGTAAATGTAAGAGAGACTCAAAGGATAAAGATGGCTTCTGACGAGCAATACGAATTTTGAAACTTCTTGGGGCGTGCATGTAGGTAATATTTTACAACTGTTCGTAGATGGAACTTTCCACCCTTAAAACAGTGATCATTAAAACTGATAATGAAACTGCGACCAGCAAAATAAGTATTTGAGAGAAATATTCAACTTTATATTTTGTATCACTAATGAAATCATTATTTGGAAAAATAAAATAAAAAACAATATTTTGGTTGTTTACAAAAAATTATCAAAAATATATTAAAATATCAAAAGAAATATACAGTAGGTTTACAAAAACACCTTATTTAGAAATCGGGTTTACAAGATGTAAATTTCCGATAGTATGATAGAAACCATCATCATCACGGTGTCTTCCGATTGCACACAGGTAAATTGAATCTAGGATGAATACTCCAAACTCCGTATCTAGAAATTCACCATACAGATTGGGGTCGATTTTTTTCGTACCAACTTTTTTTGATACTGAACGATTCATCTGAAATTGGGAATATATAACTAACCGTACTTTCTCTAAAAACAACCAGTGGTCACGTAATTACAATGACAATATGATAACTAAAAGTATCTAGTATTGCTGACCAATGGGTTGAGTAAAAACAATGGCCATGTCTGGTATGAGATTTCTGGAGCAAGTCAGTTTCTTCATTGGTGTCATTAATAACATCGGAAACCCGGCGAGACTCATACTTTCAGCTGCTACTAACTACCAACAAGAGTGATAACTAATTAGCAAGCTTCAGAACTTAAATGACCTGGAAGATCACTAATCGAAATGAAAAAATACAACAGGAAAGATCTGCAATATCTTCTGTAACCGTTTAGCGAACTAACACTGTGGCATTTTACTTGCAATTAAG